TCGTTGAAATGCAATGTTACTTGCCATCCCTTTTGTCGTCCTCGTTGTCGTCTCTGTTACCCCTATCCATTTTGGATCATCAGAAGTATCTGCGCGAATAACAAGACTCTGCCAGTTTATCTAGGATAACCACATGTAGAGGCAGAGGCAACCTGGGACCGAGAGCTACCAGTGGTCATCGAATGCAGCCCCGGTCGCAAAGACGAAAGCAAGCGAAAGATTGATGAGTCGCCGGTGGGTTAACATCCGGTGTTATCATACTTGCGCAAGACTTATATCGACAGCAACCCAGCATCCTTCTCAAGTAAACTGAAGTCATGTTTGAGAATTACCCCGAAGTTCTAGCTCGAGTCTTCTTTGACTGTAGCCAACTTTCACCGCATTATCTTGCTAATCCTTACAAGCACCGTTCCATCTGTGATCTGCTCATCAAGTGCACGAATTTGTACCCCCCCCCCCCTAAGCCAACCCAGACGCCTAGGAAACCCTCACAGAAACTGCCCTCGCAGCCAAGGAGCGCCCTTCCAAGTAGCTCTTTTAGCTAGAGGAAGTCCTCAAGCCTAAGCCCCGGCTGGAGACATCGTTGTCTGGATTACACCTGACGACCTAGCCCAGCTCACCGAAGTACACCGAGTGGTGCTGGCTGATGCGTCCCAAGGACATGGCTTTGCGCTTCTGAGCCCCCTCACTGCCAAATGCGAAGCAGATGAAGCAAAGTTTCTCGATAGATTGCCGGCTCTGAGGTACTTGAGCTTCTCGCCCTGGAAGCGAGGTTCATGGCCTTACCTGGCACAGTTGCCAGACTCCGTCTTTCTTCTCTCGCCGATGGGTCCATTCAGGTGCCTGGGAGTGGAGGCTCAACTCTTGCACAAGGCTCGAACCGCTCCGAGGTGCACCCCAGGTGACAGCGGAACCGTTTTTGCCGCGCAGAGCTGGGTCGCAAGATATCATGCGTTGGACTCTGACGTTTTGTACGGTTGGAACATTGACATCTCGGAGATTCTTTTCAGTTGGCAGTCGTTAGCAACCCCCGTGACTCAGTCTCATTGGCATTGCGGCTTGAGGACATATTGGCCTCGTGCCGACGAGCATGGCTTCGTTGGTTATTACCCCGGCGTTGCATGTCAGCCACTTCGAAGCGACCGTCTGGATTTCCTCGGACTCACCGCGGGATGGAATTAACGTTGGACGACGTGAATCGGAACCAGTCTGGATTATGTCCTCGTCTAGAAGCAGCCGCTGCAATCGAATACAGACTGGTACGCGGTCATGAACGTGTTAAAGTTCGTTTCGGCGAGGGAGTAGATGCGCGCCGGCATGGTCCATGGTCTGCAGGCTGGACGAAGCCGTTGAACGCAGGGCCGCGGGGCTGGGTGTCGACGTCTGGTTGTGCTGAACTTGCACCTGTTAGCCCACAGCTGAATGATTTCCTACACTGTATCTGACGCCTTTCGGGCATGAAAGGTACCATATCTGCCTGTCCATATTCCTAGATCAACGTCATATGCGATTATCTGATCTCTTCACCCAAACCGTCCGCCCTTTCATCGTGCCAACGAAGTCCAGATCCCTTCGCGCCGTGCCCTTGGATCTGCTCTCACACTCTCGTAGGCCTTTCCTCTATCTTCCCGACCCGGGCCAGGTTCTTTGCTCTATCTTTTTCCGGTTTTTCAGCTCCCGCCCGTTCACACTGGAAGGATAAGGCTACGGCTTAGACCATCCCCGTAATGGTGCCTATCGGTCGGCTCGCTTCCACGAGGCCGTCCTGACCAGGGAGAAGATGTAGTCCAAGGAAGACTGAGGACAACGATCGTTCGGAGATGACCTTTTTTACAAAAGTGGCCTAGTCCGCCCCTATCATTGTCGCTTTAAGTAGAGACCTATAATCAAGATCGTCCTCTCTATTGGCAGTTGAGGACGAGTAGTTGTGGACAGCGATGACTCCGGTGCGCCGGGAGGGGACTGGTGCTTGCGATCTTCAAAGACACTGGCCGATACACCTGAATCGGTTGGTGGTAGGACGTCTTTCGACGCTGACGAGCATCTTGCGCTCGAGGTTCAAACCCAGCAGTAGCTCAATAGGCTTGTCGTCGGTAATTGAAACAAGATGGCCTTGCCAGGCTTTTTCCCTTACGTTCAACGTGGCTGCATGTTATACGGCTGAGCGGTGTACTCCAAGACTGACGACGAGGGTCAGATCGGTTACAGTATGGCCCTGATTCGTGGGGCAGACGTCGCTGAGTGTGATAGACTTGAGGAGGGTGTGACCACGAGGGATAAGAGACTCTGCGGTCTTGGAGATGGAATTTCCTCCTGATTCGTGAATGCTGTCAGGGCAACAAAGTTCGGCGGGTATTTGGATGGATTGACTCTTAACAAACGGAGGGGGCAGCCTTTCAATCAGTTTCTTGGACCGCTCCTTCGCCATGGAAACCGTCGTCGTCGACGATTCGGGAATCGTACCCGGCGCCATTGCGCCAGACGTCAATCTCCTTACAAGGGCACCCTCGAAGGCGCCAATTCACTGCAGGCTCCGACCCCATGATCGCTAGCTCGCCAGTCAACGTGTTGATAGGTGATGAGGCTGAACCTCGGGAGGTTATGGTTCAGGGGCCAAGAGAGGTCTTCCTCCTTGGCTGGTGTGGTGATGGCGTAGGCCGAGAAGATTACAGCCGCGGTTTCCGAATAGTGTGCTTTCTTTCAAAAGCCACTGCATGGGGTACCGTAACCGCCGAGACTCCACATGAGTCTATTGCACATAAGGTGTGTGCCAGGTGTAACCCGAGATCAGGCGTAGCTTCACCGATGCTTGATTTGTTGCCACTGTTCTCGTGGTAACGTCTTGTGGAGATTGCGAAGGACCATATCGCGACATACACGCCGGTTCGAGCGAGATGCGGATGAATATACCAATTAGGAACTGTTACATCCCCACGCGGCGAGGGCCCCGTTTCCAAGGACGGATACGGGCAGGGGTTGTGATAGTCAATCAGGCTGCGCTGTTTCAATATAGATCAGGCTGCGTCCTTCCGGTATAAGAAGCTTGTCGCCCCCACCAACAAGATTTGCGGCTTTTTCACTGCGTTTCTGGCAGTCTTTTCTCTCACCGGTGCCGGCGCGCCCTCCTTTCCAACATGCGTGGCCCTACATTCAGCCGCTGGCATTGGTTGGTAGCCTTCATCATCGTTGCAAAAGCGCCCTCAACTCTCGCCGACGGTCCATTATTCCAACAGTTCTTTCCAGGATGGGATGGTCTCATAAGAGGATACTTGAACGAGAGTTGCTCCGGTCAACTGGCCGAATACAACAAAGATCCTATGGGTGAAGGGAAATGGAAGGTAATCGACTGTTTGTTCGATGATCCATTCTCCGAGACGCGAAAGGCAGAAGCTGCAGCCGCTGCGCTCACGCTAGGTCTCGCTCCAATGGTTCTCCAGACCATTGGGCCAAGCACCTCCGAGACGAGTCTTTTGTTCACGCGTCGGCCTCTTCTTGCTTTACTGCTTGCCATCTCGTCACCCTGGCCGCGCAACCCGGACGATAACGCCATCTACACAGACTCAACAGACCCACCAATCCCGACGAAAATTTTCATGAAATCTCTCTGGTGGTTTGAGCCCATGTTGTTGTTAGTTGAGTATGTTTTGGCGCTGGGTGCGGCTGCAAATGTTGCGTTACTCGCATATCAGCTCGGCCACTGGGCGTTCTTCATGTCGGCGAACAACGTCAACGACCCAGTGTGGTGGACGTACTGCTCGTTTCTCATCCACCTCATTGGTATACTCGGAATATTTCTACGATTCCGTTTGAGCGAGTCCAACGGGGTATTCGACAATAAGACGGCGAAGATGCACTGGTTTCGACGGTGGAGTTATCACGAGTTCAGACCAGCAGCTTACAACAACAGGGACGACGACACCATCAACACCAACGACAGCTCCGAAGACAAGGAAAAGAAGCACCGCTTGACACTTAAGACGCGGAAGTGGTCCGAGAAACGTTCGAATCACTGGATAATACTTTTGTCGGTGCTAGCAACGTGGACTCTGTCAATTGCACCAACGTTGCAGGTCCTCATGGGAACGATTATGTTGTCTGGGTCGTTGCTTACCAACCAGGCGGATGCCCGCAACTGTCTGTTCAGATATGTTTGCAGCGCAATCGTTGCTCGCGCTCTGCTCTCCTTCGAACTCGCGTATTTGACGCGCGAGGTAGACCCGGACCCGAAGGACACAAAGGAGGGCGAGCAGAGAAATTACGAGAAGACGACACGGATACAAGAACACGATGTACTCCTAAGGGAGACATCATTCTGAGCGCTGTTGCCGGTCCCGACAGCTTTTGTTCCTAATAAGTATTTCGTCGATTCTCTCAAAAACAACACCATGCAGCACATAGGCACCTAGTTGAATGGGCTAGTCTTGGAACGACTGAAGGAGTCTTAGAGCTTATACCTACTCCTTGAGCGGCTGGGTTATGTTTTGTCTTGTCATGCGAGATTCTCTGGTGCTGCCATGAGCTTTCAGCGATAGCGCATATTTCGTGAGTGGCTATGAGGAACAAGTTTTAGCCCAGTATGACCTATAATGTAGGCTTAGTTCAACGACAACCTCAATCTCTGTCATGTAAACTGTGCCATGTACGTGCGAGATGCCCTTTCTTCGATTGGCCAGCCAGTGGGAGCAGTCTGACATGGGTGGAGATCACTATTTACCTTCACCTTTGCGCGGTGAGCAGGGCTGTGTAAGAGGATCACTACGCAGACACCTACATTCATTGGCCATACCCCATGTTCCCCTCCTCTCTTCCCCTCCTTTCCCTTCCGCCCCGACCTTGGCATTTCATGATCTTACAATCTTCTCGGTACCACAAGCGAAGTGTTGGGCCGAAGAATCTTCAATTAATTCTGGAATATCTTTTGCCACCTACCATCTTCTCCTTATTGAATTGAGGACCATTGCGCTGTCAGCCTGATTCTGAGGCGACCGGCACCGGTCATCATGGAAGCTTTAGGCGTCGTCGCCAATGTCATAGCCGTTGTCGACTTGTCGTTCAAGCTCGGGGTTCTGTGCGGCGATTACGTCAACAAGGCCCGCAACGCGAAAGACGACATACAGAAGCTGAAGGCGGAAAGCGTCGCATTGAGTCGGAACATCTCACAAGTCAAAGACCTCCTGGACGGAGAGAACATAAGCCAGAGGCGTCAGCTAGTGGCATCAGAGAAGTTCCGAGGCGATGTGAAGCAATGCGAGCAGGTACTTCAAAAACTATTAACGAAGCTTGATCCTAAGTCAAATCCTAGCCGGCTGAGGGTCATCAGTGAATCTCTCAAGTGGCCTCTCACAAGCAAAGAGGTTGAGCGGACGATCATTGACTTGCAAGGATGGCGTCAGTCATTTGCATCAGCAATGCAAGTTGACCACTTGTGAGTCATTATTCATACGAGCTACTCAGGCGTATAGCCAGAGCTATCGCTTGTCCATACACGTAACAATACTCTTAATGACGAGAAATTTCTACTTAGACATATTGCACTACGAGTAGAAGACAACTTGGACTTCAATGGTCTTCCTGCCGCAAAAGGAGCAGCCTTTGACGATTATGACAACGAGCCAGGGCCCCTCTGCCACCCCGAGACAAGAAGAAACCTGCTGCAACAAATCATAGACTGGGCTAGTGATCCAGATGGAAAATGCGTTTTCTGGCTGAGGGGCCTTGCGGGTACTGGCAAAACGACGATCTCTCGGACCGTCGCACGGTACTTCGCCGAGCAGGAACAGCTCGCCGCGAGCTTTTTCTTCGACAGGACTAGTAATGAACGCAACAGGGCCGACCTTTTCGTCACCACAGTTGCTAGGCAACTCATTCGAAGGATACCTAAGCTAAGGGATCCAATCATGAAGGCCGTACAGAAGGAGCCTGATATACCTGGGAAAAGTCTTCAAACACAGTTTGATAGACTAATCTTGCGACCTCTAAAAGAACTGAGATTTGCTGGACTATTAGTCCCAGCGCTTGTATTCGTCATCGACGCGCTAGATGAATGTTACACCGAAAACATTCAAGCCCCTGGACAGGACAGAAGCCGAATGCTCGTTAAGGAGCTTACCAAATTAGCAACCATCACGGATGTGAGGGTCCGAGTTTTCCTCACCAGTCGACCAGAGGTTCCGATTCGCTTTGGGTTTCGAGAAGATGTACCTGAGGGCTTGCATCAAGACGTGGTGCTTCATGAAATACCGCGCTCCATTATCGACCACGATATTAGAGTCTTTATAGAGACTCAGCTCGAAGAGATGCGAAAATCCTACGGGATTTTGCAGGACTGGCCAGGAGAAAGCATCGTCCAACATCTTGTCGACACTTCTACTCCTCTCTTCATTTATGCTGCAACCATCTGCAAATTCGTGAACGATCCAAGGCGAAGATTCAGCCCTCGAAAACAATTAGAAAAGCTTTTATCCCAAAGCCACAGCGCCAAGAGAACACGCGGTATTGCAACCACCTATCAACCTATTCTGGAGCAACTTTTAGTTGATTTAGACGATTTTGAACAACAAGAACTGCTTGATCAGTTTGGCTGCATCGTTGGCTCTGTTGTTCTTCTAGCAGATCCTTTATCGATCCCGTCTCTGTCCCGACTACTTCAAGCTGACCAAGATGAAGTCAGTCATCATCTGAACAACTTGCAATCGGTTTTGAGCATTCCGGAAGATTTTGACTCCAATAAACCTGTCCGAATTTTCCACTTGTCGTTTAAAGAGTACGTGCTCGATAACATGAGTGGAAAAAATAAATTCTGGGTGGACGAGAAGCCTAAACATGGCCAGCTGTTCGAATGCTGCTTGCGAGTCATGATTCAGGAGCCCGGCAAAGAATTCTCTCTGAGGAATGATATTTGTCGGCTGAAAGACCACGCTGTCTTGCGAAAAGAGGTACCTACCGAGATCATCGGGAAATACATTCCCAAGCATTTGGAATATGCCTGTCTGTACTGGGTTCATCATCTAGCCCAGACAGAGTCTCCACGACAAAGAGAATCTAGGATCCACGACTTTCTCGCTCGGCATTTCGTCCACTGGATTGAAGCTATGAGCTGGATGGGTCATTACGAACGAGCCATTGCCGATGTTCTTGCTTTGAAAGAGCTATTCTTCCCTCCCGACACTGGCGGCAGCGCAGCAGCGGACTTCATACTGGACGCACAACGGTTTCTGGCTGAATATAAAGGCGTGATCGACATCGCTCCATGCCAAATCTACTCTTCAGCTATACCGTTCTCTCCAGAAAATTCAGTTATCAAGACGACTTTTCTGCGAGAAGTGCCCCAATGGGTTACCAGAAGGCCTGAAGTTGCCCAAGAGTGGGATTCAATCTCACGAACCTTTCATCGATGTGAAGCCCCTGTTGAGGCTATGTGCTACTCTCAGGATGGGCGAAAGCTAGCCATAGCTACGAAGAGTGAAGTCACCATTTGGCTAGTAGCGAAAGAAACCATTGTGGCTCTGCGTCACAACACAGATGCCGATGCCGAGATAACGAAGATATCTTTCTTCCCCAATGGCACTCTTGCGATAGGGATGAACTCAGGATTAGTCTTGCTTTGGGACTTTGAGCAAGGCCGCGAGAGAGTCGTCGATGTGTCCAGCTCTGGTGTTTCTCATCTCTCCATATCCACAAACGGACGCATGCTCTGCGCGCGAAATGATGGATCAGTGCGTCTTTTGAGCGAAGAGCTCAACATAGCCTATCAGTGGCAGACTCGAGCGGGAAGAAAAACACACGACAATCGGTACATATCTTACTCACCAGATGGCAGCTTTGTAGCCTTCTTTGAACATGAGACAAATGATCTGAGGGTATACGACGCACATTCAGGACAATGTCTTCGCCAGCTTCAGGCGCCAGCCAAATCCTCCTTCGGCCACCTCACCATATCCCCGGAAAATCTACTGCTTGTAATCCTTTCATGCGACAGAGATGATCCTCATACATGAGCTTGGATTTGGGATTTGAATCGAACTGAAGACTGCGGCAACATTCATTTGCGTCAACAATCATTGTATTTTGAACCAACGGTCAGTCAAAACGGGGTGTTAGCAGCCTTCGACGCCGAGAGCCGAATGGTACTATGGGATCTTCGAGGGACACCCCGATTTCTATGTCAACCTGAAACCGCTCAAGATGTTTGCTTTTCCCCAGACGGCAAATTCATGTGCGCAAAGGACGTCGATTTGGTTCGAATTATCGACATTGATCTCTTAACCCTCAATCTTGCAACTCAGCAAGTCCCTTCTTGCACTTCCCATGCCAGGGAATTTGTGATATTCTGTGAAGCTGCATCCTCACCTGATGGTTCAAGCTTTGCAATGATTTCCAGCCGAGGAAAATTGAGCGTTTGGGACAGTAGAAACCTGGACGGTCCCGTTTCTGCTCCCTCAAGGTTCCCACCTCTCATCGTCGAGACGCAGTTGAAACAGGATTACACCGATCTTGCGTTGGATTGGAGCAAAGATGGCGAGATCTTAGCGATTGGATTCCTAAATGAGCTTGCTATATACAGATTGCAAGGGCACCCGGGGAGTCAATCATTGTCCAAGATTGATGGGTCCTCATACAGTGAATCGGATAAAGAGCCAGTTCGGGCATCCAAATGGTTGGCCTTTTCGCCTTGTGGCTCGTACATCTGCATGGTAGACGGCCGGGCGAAGACGTGTCACTTGTGGCACTTTCCTTCCCTCACGCTTCAAATGAGTGAGACCCCGGAAGAATATCTGGATATGAGCGCTGTCCTTGGCAGCTTCTCACCGAACAAAACTCACTTAGCCCTGCTGAATGACGAACCGAAACTGAGACTTATCAACTTGGCATGCAGGGCTACCACTTGGGAGTTGAAGCTTGAACGGACCGTCCGGCCAACGGGTATTACACACAACTCCACCGGGAGTCTGATAGCTATTGGACTTGTAGGAAAGTACAACTCGCAGTACGGTGATGTGTTACTGGTAAATGCGGAGAGTGGAAGTCGACTTTCCACACTGCCCTGGCCGGACAGTTATGTGGACTTTTCCCAGATCGCTTTTACTTGTTACGACCAAGTAATCACAATCCCCTGTCAAAGATTCGAGGAACGACGCAACATAAAGAATCCACACACAGCAGACGGCCGAGAGACCTCCGATGACCTTGGCCCATGTCATGTCTTCGGCACCATACAAAGATGCGGTCGAGATGAGACACGCTGGATTATGAAGCGTGGTCGAAGGATGATTCTTCTGCCGAGACATTGTGAGGACTACATCATGGCGACCAAATACTGGAGTCGGCACCCTCATCGGTTCTTTGGGTACGACGCAAGACGAAAGGTGCCTTTTTTCATTGACATAGCCTGCGATGATTGTACCGCCGAGGATTGTACACCTACGCTGGCCACCACATAATTCAGTCTGGCAGGTTCCAGCCGAACATAATTGTACAGGAGCACAAATGTCCAGTATCAAGTCAAGATAAGCATCATCTTGCCTGTCTTATTTCGTGCCCTCGCGGTTTCCGTTGTGATGAACTTGAACAGTGTGATTGGTCGGCATATCCTTGCGATTCGCTAGTCGACCTACCGCGCTGCCTAGCATATCCGTCAGTGAGTTATTACGATAAAAGTGGTCTATGATGGGTGAAAACAAGTCTAAGTCCATGATCATTGATATGCGATGTTATTTAGTTTCATGGATCGGCCAACAGATTTCTTGAGTCGGACAAAATTATCATTAAAACTGAAAACATACACGCTGTACAAGCTTTTTGTACACCGAGCCACTCTTGTCCTAGAGAGTCCAGAATCAGCCTTCAAACTTGAGATCTATTCGATCACTAGTAGTGGAAAGTCGAGCGGAAGTTGTTTGAGGCTATGGTAGTAGTCTAGCAGCTTACCGCCTGTAATAATGGAATGGGACTTTGTGAACGTTTCTTTGCCTATTACACAAGATGTAACCACTGCGCTTTTCATCGCTACGCCCCGAGTTCTCTCCGCCTGACGCGGAAGAGCACCTTCTCGGGTTTGACAAACCACCTATTAACAGTCTTCAATTCTCCGCAAACACACTCAAACTCATACCGCCTGACTAGCTCTGGGATCAATTTCACCATCTCAAGGTTTGATATATGCTTCCCTATGCAAGTCCTCGAGCCCGCTCCAAAAGGCAGATAGTACTGCTCCATGGCCGCTAACGTCTCCGAGGAGGTGTCTTCGGGACCCCACCGTTCGGGTACGAAGTCCGCGGCGTTTGTGCCAAAGACATCTGCGTTCCGGTGCGCTACCCACGGATTTATACCTATGAGTACCTGTCAAAAGTTGTCAGTATGATTTTATGCGGCCACCTTATGTTATGTTGACCAAGGTTTCAAGACATTACCCCTGGTGGAAAATGAGTTCCATCGACGTCCAGACCGGACCCTACGACTTCGCGCCACATGGGCAAGCCGACAGCTGGGTGGACTCGCAGGGCTTCTTTAATTACCATCTGGAGGTACGGAAGTTGCTGAGCCTGGTCAAATGTGATGTGCTCGTCGAGACTTGAGCAAAAGCCTTGAGAATCGAGCTCTTTGTACACTCGCTCTACGAGGCCATTTGTGGTAAGGAGGTGGTATAGCGCGCTGGTTAGAGATATGCTTGTGGTGTCACTTCCAGCTGCGACGTTTCCTGTCAGAGTAATCGTCCGAGTGCGTAGTCTTTCGAATTCCTCCGGATCTTCCTTCCGCAGTCGTTGAACTTTCGCCAGGAAGGTCTCTCCACCATCCTTTTCCTTGGTGTCAATTTCATCGCTCTCGAGTTTTCCCGCAAAACTTGCGATACCACGGACAGGATTACCATAGAGGACAAAAAGTACTGGTAGCAAGATGGCGCTGACACCCGAAAGTGTTGCGAAAGCATTGGCGTCTTCTAGAGCTCTGATGATGCCGTCGATATCTTGTCCGCCAGATTCCAAGAAACCTACGCGTCTGCCGAACTGTTATCAAAGTCAGAAATCTAATGCCATCAGCCATGTACGCCAAAATCAAACTCACCGTGATCTCGCCGATCACGTCGAATGCATAGCACTGCATCCAGTGCTGCAGGTCGAACATCTCCCCGCTTGCGGCGAACTCGTCGAAACGCTTCAGAAGAAGCGCAACACAGCTGTCCACATAGGGCTCGTAGGACTTGATTGTCGACATAGAGTACATACTGGCGACTTTGCGGCGCATGAGGCCATGCACGGCGCGATCGCGCGCGCTGAACAGATTGTGGTTCGGGATGCGAGGATCTCCCCAGGCATCATACCATTTACTTTTTGGTAGGGGAGATGAGATGCCATAGATCACACGGGCCATTACCGGATCATCAATGCTGTACATGCGAGGCCCGATGCGAACGATTTTCCTGGCTTTGGTGGTCATCAGCCATGACCGAGAACTGAACAAAGTCAGGTGAAAGTCACTTACAGCCATTCCTGTGTGCCTCAATGTCGTATGCCTCATACTTGCCCTGCCATATCTTCCAGATGTACCATGCGTCAGACCATCTGGCGAGTGCGGGCCCGTACGCGTCTGGGAGTGAAAGACATGAACGGATGTGGTTGAGCAGCCAGCTGACGGCAAGGAGCGTGAGAGAGCCAAAGACTACAGGCAAAGATATGACCATTGTCGCTTATAGTTGAAGTACCCGAAAGCTCGCAGTGTAGGCGAAGATTGCCACTTGTGGTTCTTGAGGAATGAGAGCATGGAGAAATCTTGGGGATGTTGAGGCATGTGGTGGGGTGCCGAAACTCCCGTGGGAAGTGGCGGTGGGGTAGTTGAACTCTCTTGTCGAAGAACGCGGAGTATGTAAACACGGGGTTGAAGGCGCGTCATCAGAGTTCTATGAATGGTCTAAGAATAGCACAAGACCTGACTATAGCGGAATGTGTTTGTCAATAGCTATTATGATATTTTGAAGGCTCATTTGTGGTTAATGTCTGTGTAAAACAGAGCGTTCAAGCTGCCGTCTTGAGTTGGCATTGAGATGTTGATAATTACTACTTGCTTTCCTACTTCGGAGCATTCATATGCTCCTGACGAGCTTTCTCCATATGAGGATGCCCATAGAAAATTTTGCCTTCGGGGCCATCCAGCGCTGCTGCCTTCTCAATCTCCTCGTAGATATGACTGTTCACAGGCGCTTTCTCGGCCGAAAGCAGCTTGAAGGTCTTCTTCGCGCGATCTGCCTTTGACGTAGATGTCACGACAATGCCGCCAAGCCGGTAGTATGCCCAGCTGAGAAGCAAATCAGCTGTGGACAGGTTCGTCTCCTTCGACTGCTCTTCCAACTTCTGCAACAATACTATGCTATTTGCAGTTGGCAAGCGGCCGCTAATGGCTGTCAAAAACCCATAGTCTGCGTGGCTGTCAGCTTGGAAGATTCATTCTCCGAGGACTTGGGGGGATGGTGTCCATACTCATTGGGACGACATTGTGCTTGAATTCGAACTCGCGGAGTTTCCGGAAGTTGTCGTCAGACAACAAGAAAGGATTGAATTCGTACTCGTTAAGCTGCGGAGGGTACTTGAGGTCGGTGGCGTTGAAGATGTCATGGTAATCAGGCAAGGTCCTGCAAGTCGCGCTCGTGAGCTTTGATCCGGTTACACAACATTGTTATGTCATTGTTAACACACCAATTCGAAACACCAATAATGCGAGCAACTCCCCGATCCTTGAGGTCTTCCAGCACACGCCATGCTTCACGATTGGTCATGTTCCCAGCGTAACCGCGGGGCGGGAAGTGCAGCTGCAGAATGTCGAAATAGCCTTCTAATATCCCAAACCGCTCGATCTCTTCCTTTACGCTCTGGATCATGTGATCGCGGCCTCGACATCCTAGGGACGCGTAAGTGTTGATCTTTAGGGACAGGAAGATCTCGGAGCGTGCGAGATTGTTGCGACGGAGGACTTGAGCAAAGCTGTCATTGTTGGTGTAGATATCACCAGTATTGAAGTGGCGGAAGCCAGCGTCAATTGCTTGTTGAACTTCGACGCTGCTGTCCGTAGGAAGCGGGTGAGTATGGCCGGGGGCCCATTTCATGAGGGTTCCCACTCCGAAGCATAGGCGGGGTATGGCTGTTCCTGAAATGTTGATTGTTGCCATGACTATTGTGTTTTTCAAGGCGGCAGATATGTTGGATGTTGGCGGCAGTGGGCATGCACTACGTTTGAAAAACAAAAAGCCCCTGTCCGTTTGGTGGCTGCCTTTAGAGTGAGGAGAAGAACGTGACGCCGTCGTCCAAGGTTCCTTGCTTCATACGGACGCCTCCGCATTGTGGGGTATTCCGATGTGGTGTTGCGCCGCCCCTCCAGAGCAATACTAATTACATGGCCACGATAGGGGCCTCTGGGTACAAGTGATAATTATCTCAGACAGATCTCCTGTCGAAGAAAACCTCTCTCTTCATTCAACATTGCGGTTGGTTGTTGCGCACATAAATCTTTCATTCACGTTAACCAAATACGTCACCATGGCTTCGTCCAAGTTTCTACCTCATGATGGGACTCGTCGCAAAATCCGAGTCGCCGTCATTGGCGCAGGCATCTCTGGACTTGCCGTTGCCAACGGCTTACTGAAAGACCCAGCTGGGAGGTTCGATGTCCAGGTCTTCGAACGCGACACAATTGCATTCAACTCAGAGCGTGGCGGGTATCAGCTCCGCATCAGTGCCAATGGCTTGAATGCTCTGAAGACAGTATCCGACCTTGAACTTTGGTCCTTGATCCGCGAGGTTTGGGCCGGTGATCAGGCGAAAGCGCCTACGATTGTTGACCCCAAGACTTTCGCGGCTCGCCTACGCCTAGGCGATCTCAAGTTGTATCCTAAGAGTCAGGCCATACCCAGAACGGGATTGCGTGGCGCTCTCTTGCAGCCGTTACTAGTTCAAGGGCGGGTTCACTTCAGCCATACCTTCGCCCGCTTTGAGCTCATGCCGGGCAAGCAATGTGGTGTAAGGCTGCACTTTGATGGCCAGGCGTCACAGGAAGCCGACATTCTCATCGCATCAGATGGCAGCAACAGCCAGGTCAACCGGCAGGTTGGTCTTAACAACAAAGTCAAGCTAGAGGCCATGACCTTGATTCAGTCTCGCGGCACCATTTCGCGAGCTGTACGGGATGAGCTACCCGAATCGCTCCTCCAAGCTGGCTCGGTGATGTTCATGGGCGGCAAAAACGTTGCTGGATTTTCATCTGTCTACGACGCCAAGAAGGACCTCAATACCGGTGACACAGAGTCATACACGTTGTTCTGGTCGGTCGGTATACCCAGAGCTCGGGGAGACGAGCTGATAGCGAAGGCCGGCTCGAACCCTCAGAAGATCGTGCCTCTCCTTATAGATTACTTTCGAAACGAACTGGGCTACGACAAACCTTTGGAACTCATAATGCAATCGGCCACTGACTTTGTTCGGACGGGCCTTGTGAGCAGCTCCATCAAGCCGAAGACGGATTGGCGGAATGGTATCGACAAGAATTCGCGGGTGATCCTCCTCGGCGACGCCGTCCATCCCATGACGCCGGGCCGAGGTATGGGTGCAAATCAGGCACTGACTGATGCTGGAAATCTTGTCGAGCTTTTTCACCAAGCAGCATTTGAGCAAGACATGCCATCTGACGGAGAGCTTGCCGCTCTGGTGCGCACATTCGACGCCGAAATGTACCCGCGCGCATTCAAGATGGTGAAGGCTAGCGAGACCGTGACTTCGCTGGACTTAACGACGGTATCGGGAAAGATGATTGTAGGTTTCGTTGGAATGGCTTTGACCGCGATAGGATGGTTCGTTTCGGCCTTGGAGACTGTTGGCTTGAAAACCGAGGAGAAGATAGACTATGTGTCGCATGAGAAGTAGTACACGTAAGAGCCCTGTATCAAGCAATTGAATTCAATGTGTTGATAATGACGAAGGATGTTGTGAACGCAGCGCGGTGGTGGATTTCACTTATTGCCCATAATTAGAAACCCAGCTTTGAGTTAGATTCTCACCATGTGTCATATGTGAGCGAGCATCCGCTGCGTGTGTTATTGAACGTTCTCCGCAGCAACCGGGAAACCCCGCCGCTTGTCACAAGACGTAATGACAAGGCGATTTTGTCATCTCCCTACAGTGTCGTATTGTGTATTAAGGTAACTCCTCTCGTGCGGGGTGTACCGCGAAAAATGCCTGCGCGACTCGTTTTTACCTTTGCTTTCTTCATGCATTTGATACATTGTTAACACGATATCGCTAGATGATTCAGCTACTTACCTAGTGGGACTCGCAACGATGGTCAGTGAAGGAGATAACAGAGTCGTTCCTGTGGTTATTATTGGTGGCGGCCCAGTTGGCCTGACATGCTCCATACTGCTGTCTTTGCGAGGCATCTCAAACACGCTTTTCGAGCGCCATCCATCAACTTCAATCCATCCAAAAGCGTGCGGCATCAACCAGCGTACGACTGAGATTCTTCGTGTCATGGGAGTAGAAAAGGACGTCTATGCGATTTCAGCACCAGCCGAGATAGCCGGACGAACCGCCTGGTACACCTCGCTTGGAGAAGAGGGGAAAGAAGTGTTCTCCAGAGATGCGTGGGGAGGTGGCCAGTACGCACAGGAGTATGCCCAGCACAGCCCATCGAAATACTGCATTCTGCCGCAGATAAAGTTGGAACCGATCTTGAAGCGACGCGCCGTGGAGTTGAATCCTCATCGAATCTTCTATGATCATGAGGTGTTGGCGACAGAGGATCACGGCGATTTCGCGGAAGTTACCGTGAAGAACGGCAGCACCGGCGACGTTTCCCGACACAAAGGGCCGTACGTGATCGTTGCGGATGGCGGTCGTCAGTTCACAACACAGTTGGGAGTCGAGTGGAGCGGCGAGGGCGACCTCTTGACCATGATAAGCGCACATATTCGCTCTCCGATCAGAGCCCTGCATCCCGATAGTCGCAACTTCATAACGTGGTTCACGAACCCGGCGATGGGGGGCAGCACGCTCACCGGCTACCTTTATCAGCTGGGACCTTGGCCGGAAGCGATGACCAATCCAGAAACAGAGGAATGGATGTTTGTCTGCGCCCAGGCAGCAGACGACCCAACCAAGTTTGATGCCGAGACGGCACTGGCTCGAGCGAGGAAGACCATCGGCATACCGGACCTCAACATGGAGCTGATCTCCCTCAGTGAGTGGAAGGTGAGTGCTCTTTACGCATCGCAATGGCGTGTCGGACGTCATTTCCTGGTGGGCGACAGCGCTCATCGCATTCCACCATGGGGCGGTAAGTAAACCACACGCGTCTGATGTGACATGATCTTCGAACAATGCTGATTCTGAAAAAGCCCTGGGAATGAACTCTGGCATACAAGACGCAAATAATCTCGTGTGGAAACTGTCCATGGCTCTCAAGGATTCAAGCAGGCATTATGACAGTCTCCTTGACACTTACTACGAGGAGCGCTCAGAGGTTGGAAAACGCGTCGGACAGACCAGCCTCAACAACATGCGCTCTCACTCAGGTCAGATTGATCGTGTCATGGGCGTTAGCGCGTCACAGAGTCAAGCGGAGAACCTTGCAGCAGGTGCGGCATTCTTCGACAAAGGACACCCCGGATACGCAGAGAAGCAGCGACTTATCCAGTTGGCATCACAAGCGCTGGACACCGAGTTCAAGGCACCAGGGTACGAAGTAGGCTGGTTCTACCCAAGCGCAGACATCAACTCTGAAGGTGGAGCGACACATGGAGGACAACAGCTGGCAGATGGCACACTAGTACATCACACGTACTACAAGTCGACGATTCCAGGGCATCATCTTCCCCATGCGTGGGTGGCGCGTGACAACAGGACAGTGGCGTTGCGTGATCTCCTAGACCTGGAGTTACTGACCCTATTTGTGGACAATACGCTGGAGGAGAAAATCGACGACAACAGGGTGAAAGTAGTGGTCGTTGGACAAGATGGATGGCGAGACAAGACCGGGCAGTGGAAGAAGTACCGCGGTGTAGACCGGTCTGGAGGTGTGCTTGTGAGGCCCGACGGGATTGTCGCTTGGCGAGGATCATTGGCACAGGCCAGAAATAAAGGGTGGAATCGGCTTGTTGACAAGATCCTGAAAGTAGCCTAGGTAGTTGCAAAGGCGCCGTTGGACGGGATAATTTTGCAAGGCCCTTATAAGTTCGTGTCGGGGTGCGGAGTTGCGGGGGTCCCCGGGCTTGGTCACAGGAGGGTCTCCGGCTCCAACCTGGCTATATTTAGGAGGATGATTCAAATTTAATCCAGAGAAAGCCATGTCAATCTGAACTGCAACTTGTCGTCTTCTCCACTTCGTGATATCGACGGGCAAAGAAATCGCCATGGATGCAACAATCGAGTGGTTTGGTAAGTTGTCATCACATTCAGTGTCTCTCAATTGCCCTCGATTTTCGTGATCTCACTGATCACCTAGGTGCTACCACGTTTCGCGTGAAAGCCAACGGCCTCGTCATCTTCTTGGACACATGGCTGGAGCGCCCAGATGTTCTGCCTAAAGTTTTGGATATCAACGATGTGGCTGAAGCAGATTACATATTCATCTCCCACGCACATTTTGACCAGTAAGTGTTAGATTAATTCACATTACAATCAAGTCGTTTCGTACACAGATTCAGCTCACCAGGTGTCTCGTAGTCTTCCCGGGGCCGATAAGATTGCAATCAAGACCGGAGCGCACGTTATCGCCAATGGCGAAGCTATCAACGTCCTTCGGTTCGCTGGAGTGCCGGAAGACCAGCTAATCCCAGTGTCCGGCGGCGAGCGCGTCCCTCTTTTTACTCTCGAGTGTCGTCAAGCTGCGGCTCGTGGTGAAGTTGACATCGCTCCTGGACCACCAGGCGCTCCTGCGGCTCCAGATGCTAAATTAGCCGCGGCTTCCGTCCATGTCTGGCCTTCATTGCACTGTCTGATGCCCGGTGGCTCGCATGCCGATGTGCCGGCGATCATGGATACAGGCAAGGAGTACATTGGAGGAGCAAGCCAGTACGCCTGCACACTGGATATCACATTCGGTATGAAATACGGCCTCCTCAAGATCGGCGACCACATGCCTCGCGACGCTATGGACTCGGGCATGCGCTCGTTCGTCGACTACGTCAACGGTCCAGCGAGGGAATGCATGTCGCACTTTGACGGAGGGCAGCTGATGTACAACTTTCTGTTCGGAGAGGAAAAGACACTGCTGTGGAACGGGCATCTGGGTGGCTACGATGGAATATTGAAGACGGTGCAGCCCCAGCCAGACGTGCTCATTCAGGCAATTGCTGGGCGGGCGAACTTGAACGGGCGACCATTTGATGGATCGGCAGCGCAGTTCGCAGTGCAAGTATCGAAACTTCTGGGAGAGCCGAAGAAGGTGATCTGGTGTTTGCACGATGAGGCGCCGATCAAGCCGTGGACGGTGGATGTTAGCCCAGCTACGCAAGCCGTCGAGACGGAGACTAGTTCTGAGGTGACTACACTGCAGATGGGTACGCCTGACGTGCTATTCTGAATATTATTGCAAAATTATCATAATACAAACAAGCCAGAGTTGTCAAAGCAGTTTGCATATCCTATTGAGTGCCGAATGACGCCAGAAAGCCCTGTCCAAAAAATACTCTAATTCTACCCCAATTTCAGAGTATATAAATTCTTTCAATAGTTAAAAACAATTCTTGGCACCGCCCAATGTACATTAATCGGCTCTACCCTGCACAGGGGGTTTCTGGCGTAATTCGGCACTCAATGGGATAGTGTCTGTCATAACGCTTCGACTCTCAGCTTTAACGACCTCTTGACACGCGTGAGGCGATTTCATCTGTTGATGTAATGTGAAAGCGCTTAACACAGGAGATGAAGTGTTTCACGTCTAATCAGAATTCACGAGTTGCCGTGGCGGTCGGTAGAGTGCAAGATGGGAGTTACTCCTCGGCATCCCTCCACTCCCGCGGCCCCGCCACAAACCCCACATATTTCGGACTTCCCCACCCCCGCCGCCGCACCGAGATTTCGGAGCCCCAACATTTCCCCTATTGCTCCGCAGGCAGACCGCAAATTCCCACTTCACTACATCGTTCAACATGCGATCGCGTGCCTCCGCAGTTGCCATCCGAGACAATACTACCGATAACGGTGGCGCCGCCGACGGCCTCGGTGACGATAATGGCCCCCCATCCTCCCCCTCCTCCTCCGCCTCCGCATCACTGCCGTGTCCCGAATGCGGGCAGACCTTCCGTCGGCGCGAGCATCTAAGTCGACATCTGGACCGCCATTCCGGCCGTCGTTGTCACACATGCAGTATCTGCAGCAGAGCCTTCTCTCGGAGGTTTGTATTATCTGTGCCTCGGACAGACTGCGTTCGATATGTCTCGTGTGACACTTGTGACTGACTCTCAGCGCGGAAAAGGGACACATTGAAACGGCATGTTCGCACACATGGAACTGCAGTGCTCGCTGAATGGACACAAAATAATGACGATCGTCTCTCACGAGACCAACGTCGTGCGTGCGAAGCTTGCGCCAGAGCTAAGCAACGCTGCGATGGTCGCAGGCCAGCACCTTGTACCAACTGTACAAACAAAGGTCGTCGCTGCTTATACCAATCGAGTTCTGGCGACGACGACACTATCCTCGTTGCGCAGCCTGCAGCTGACGGCGAGGCTCCTGCTGCCCTTTCTACGCCTCGCCAGCAACTGCCGCCCACTACTTCGCAATCTTATATCTCGGACCAACCTTCGCTCGAGCCAGATCTCCTATGGGACGCCCTCCTGACCCCTGCCCAATTCCTGTTTCCGTTCTCGCCGGTGCCTTCTCTTGGAGCTGGCACATCGACAAACCTCTGCTTCGGAGACACCGCTTTGGCTGCCGTCGGTGACTCTGCGGATGATCAGACCGCGCAGAATAGCTTCGGTGCAGTGACAACGCCAAGAACAGGTGTAGAGACCGTTGATGTCTTTACTGGACCGGAATACCTGACAGCAGAAGAAGAAGACATCCTGATCGCTGAGTACATTCCTCATGTACCTCCAATGACAGTAGAAACAAGGGCATACATGATCCAAGCCATCAAAACCCGACTGCCACAGCACGAAGCCCAAGGGCTTGACGCCAACTTCCCGTCTTTGCGACACCTTGATACATACATGCAACTATATTTCGAACACTTCCATCCACGGATGCCTTTACTACACGTTCCGACATTTCAGGCGTCGCCCAAGACTTGGCAGCTGGTGCTCAGTGTGGTGTGCCTCGGCAGTCGGTACTCCTTAGCGCACCACCATCAAGATCACGTTCTACTACTGCAGCAAACTGCCCAGCACATGCTAAAAAGAGATGTAAGGCCCATAGTTGAACTATACCGCATGACGTTGTGCTGATATAAAATTCAATATATTACAGATTCGAAAGCTATCGAGTAATGACGTTTTGGCCTCTGCGCAATCCCTATTGTTGTTTCATCAAAGCCAGTGGCTCTCGGGCGAGTGGAACATTGTCATGGGGGTTCAATTCCACCGGAACATCCTTGCCACTCTTTGTCGCCAATTACTATCTCGAGAGGGCACTTTGATGCACACGCATACATCCGCCGACAACGCGAACCACGCATGGTCCCAGTGGATACAAGCCGAAGCCAAACGCCGGATCATCCACTTCACTTGGAGTAAGTCATCTTCACTCAACCCAGTCTCGGCTACGAAACTTACACAAAAAAAGAGTGGGAGTGTCTTCAGGCAACCTTCTTCATGCTTCCTCCTCTGCTCTCAATTGCCGAGCTGCAAACTCCGGTGCCCACATCTGATGCGCACTGGTCATCGACTCACGACCAGTGGCACCTTCACCCGCCACCGCAGCCTTCATCGACTCTGTGTGCTCTAATAGCCCGCGTTGGCCTCGGCGACGTAGTTCCGGCGAGCCTGGAGCAACCGGCTAAATCTGCAATACTGCTCTCGGCCATCGTGCAGCAAGCTGCCGAGAGCGATTTGCTACGGGCCATGGGACTTGGCTCTGTTGGCAGTACTGCTAGTCAACCGGGCTTAGCTCTAGGAATGGGGGCCATGCTCTCTCAGAAAGCCTTCGATGTTTTGTCCCAGGTAGGGTGCTCTCACGCGTTGCGCGAAACGGATGCTGGCACCAACTCGAACGACTTTGCCTTGCTTTCTCGAGTTCTTTCCATTTGCTCGTTTACACCTGTGCGGCTCCTCAACCTGCACAGCAAATGGCAGGCGACAGAAACAGGTCAAAGCAACGCCCGGTCCGAACTGTTGGACGTTATACCGCAGAATGTCGGCAGAGCAAGGCTCTGCTTGTACTACGCTGCGCAGGTTCTCCAATACTTCCGCACTGCTAGAGTCGCAACAATACTCGACATTCTGAGCGTCCTGATCTGTGTGCTATACATGGTAGCGTACGTGGACATTGTTGAGCAACGAGATCCCAATGCCGCCGGAAGTGGTGGGGCCGGCGTCGGGACGTCTTGCACGGAGATCATCCGACTCGATCAAGTCGTTGATGTAGATCTTTTGAACGACTGGTTGGAGGTCAGGAATCATGAAAGACCTCACGTTACTGGGGTCGGTCTCCTACACAGTGGCCGCAGCGTGTCTCGTCTATACAAAGAAGGGTCGCGGATTATGGCAAGCGGATGCTCGGTCTCGAGGATGGCGAAGGAGATGTCTACTATTTTCGAGTCGCAAGCTAAAGGATATCCTCCAGACCCTCAAGATCACCGACAGGACGAACAGAGCGCGGTGTGAAATCTGTTTGAGGTGTATTGGTAGCTTTATGTTGGTCAGCGGCTCCTACTTTCCATAAATCGCCATACTTCAGACATCTCGGAGGGCTCCTCCCATAGCAAGTCAAAGAGCTCAGATTTATGCTCACCCAATTGCGGGGGCGGGGAGTCGTTCTGAGTTCAATGAGCAACTTAAGACGAATCTGGGGAATTGCGGAGTAATTTGTATGTAGGATACTTTATAATACATGGAATGATGCGCCTCTCCCTCGCCCATTTTGCGGTTTTCATTCTTATTATACATTTAAAACCACAAACTTTGCCACAATGCCGCAAACTGCACAACCCTTCTCTGTACGCGTCTTGTTTACCGAGCTCGACCACGAGCCAAAGAATACCTGGGTTGCCTATGGGTCTTCTGAGAGGCGAATAATTGCCAAACGATGGACCAAAGAAGAAGGTCGCAAGGCTTTTGCGGTCGATACGGTCTGGGAGAAGGATATCCGCATTCCGCTCTGAGATGGTGTCGAGCTCTTGGCTGACGTCTTTCGTCCACTGACATCCGACGACAAGCCTGTCCCAGCCATTATGCCCTGGAGCCCATTCGGCAAGACCGGAACCGGTATGCTGCAGCTCGATATGTTGCCGTGGAGAGTCGGCGTGCCTCGTTCTGCGACTAGTGGTCTGGAAAAGTGGGAGGCTCCTGACCCTGCTGAGTGGGTTGCACGTGGTTACGCTGTTGTCAACATCGACGCTCGCGGGTCGTTCAAATCCGGCGGCGATCTTCACGTGTACGGGACCCAAGAAGGCCGTGACGGCTACGACTGTATCGAGTGGATCGCACAGCAACCTTGGTGCAATGATAAGGTCGCCATGGCCGGGAACTCGTGGCTTGCGACAACGCAATGGTTCATTGCCGCCGAACAACCTCCTCATCTGACTTGCATGGCACCTTGGGAAGGACTCGGAGACTACTACAGGGAATCTATCTGTCGCGGTGGCATTCCTGACCACACTTTTTGGGACATGTTGATGGAGTGGGCTTGCGGTAAGTGTTGTTATGCTTCTTCCTCTGGGGGCTTTTTGCAAGGCTTCTCTAACGTAAAAACTTTCTATAGGACCTGGGATGCGCGAGGACGTCGGCGCGATGGTGGATAAGTATGGTACTTGGAACGACTACTGGGAAGACAAAAAGCCGAAGCTCCGCAACATTACTATTCCGATGTATGCTACTGCCAGCTTCTCGACCGGACTCCATACCGAAGGATCAGTCAGAGGATTCCAGCTATCTCGGTCATCTGAGAAATGGTTCGTCTACTGTCAAGTGTGAAAAGTCTTATTATCCACTCAGATTGCTGAAACGCCGCAAAAGGTTGCGTTGGACTGCAACCCAAGAATGGCACGACATTTACCAGCAAGAGAATCTTGACGATTTACAGCGATTCTTCGACAAGTACATGCTTGACGAAGACAATGGCTGGGAGACTACGCCCCGGATTCGATACTCGCTGCTGGGCTACAATCGTCCAAGCGTGGTCAACGAGCCGGCTGCTCAGTTCCCGCCAGCGAAGTTTAGGTACGAAACTTTGTTCCTAAATGCGATGAATGGAGATCTAGGACACCGAAGACCCTCGACTGAGGGCGTGGTTGTATACCAAGCGGATTCGCCTTCTGACGATGGATGCTCGTTCCTCCACACCTTCGAGGAGTACACTGAGCTGTGTGGTGTCTCGAACGCCAAAGTGTTCATGTCAACAGTTGAGCATGACGATATGGTAAGCTTTTCCCGCTCAAGATGTTTATATATATGCGTACATCATTACGCTTGATACTGGACGAACTCCTGCAGGATGTCTACGTCGTGCTACGCAAACTCGACAAGAACGGTAAAGCAGTATGGCATCAGAACATCCCCATGGAAGAGGGCACGTCCGTGGGCATATGGGTCGGTATGAACGACATTACAGCGGCTTGGCATGCCGGTGGCATGAGATGGTTAAGTCAATAGCAGGAACAGCACTATGGCATCTGGTAATGCCATTTCTTCCCATTTTTGAAGCAACAAATTGATGTCTTTCATTAAAACATTTGCGAGTCTGGATAGGGGCGGCTGAGTTGGCAGTGACGATCAGTCCGACTACCATTCATAGTCAACTCGACCCTCTCCATTTGCCACATACGACCATACCCATTGGAAAACTCGGGATCCCGTCCGCTCTCCCATAGATAAGCCAATGAGGGCTGGAGTAGTAGTCGGGTCGGTGACGACCGGCGAATGCCCGGTGTTGTATGTGTTTTTTGCGTGTGTTAGGTACTCTTCTCTCAGGTAGTGTTAGTGCCTTCCTTTCAATTCCCGTCGCAACCCACTTGGACTTTTTGTCTTGGGTACGCTGTCTCTAAGATAGATCCCAGCTGCATTTACTTGGGAGTGGTGGTTTTAGGTTTTAGCATCCCTTGTGGACAAGGAACTTGGCTGGCCACGATCACAGGGAACCCTAACCCCCTTGGTGACGTGTCAGCCTTTTCTCGGAGAACATTGAGTGTTGGCTGCTGTACTGCACACAACTGTATTAGGGCATGTAGCTGTAGATGAGCAAGCTGCTGCGGCTCGCGTCTACAAACCCTAACAAGCTGGACGATTGCCCGAGCCACAAAGCCCTTTGGTCAGTTTAACAACATACAAAGAACGAGTTGCTTGCATTCTCAAAGTCACATTCTTAATTAAGTGAACAAACTGAGATTCATTGAATGATGCATTTTGTGGCTAGAACGAAGATGGTATATTGACGAGTTGAAAAAACAAATGAACGAGTTTAGCAGGTTTGGCAAACGTTACCACTGCAGACCTGCCCTTTGTCCGCGCACGACTCAAACTAGATATCAACTGTCAGCTTGACTGGCTTTGAAACTTCACACAATGTGAGGCGATAGACTTACAAAGTTCCATGTCATTTTGTCCCTGCCTGGGAAAACGTTACACTGTACGATATTGTTCCCAGAGCACCCAAACGCGTCCTTGTACACGCAGTCCTTGCCCTGATCGGCTTGCATCGCGACCGTTTCGCAGTTTCCGGTGTTGCAGACTTGTCCTTTATCGGGGCATGATGTCTCCTACGTAGAAGAGTCAGCTTTGGCTGTTCTTGTTGGAGCATGGCTCGAAGCAGGGAGCTTACAAAGTTCCAGGTCATCCCACTGCCGCCTGGGAAAACATAGCACTTTACAACGTTGTCGCCTGAACAGTCTATGGCATCCTGGGTATCGCAGCCTTTGCCTTGGTCTGCTGCCAATGCGGCCGTGGCGAATAGTGGGAGGAGGAAGGAGAAGCGCATTGTGGAAGTACGATGTGAAAGAGGGTTATTGTTCAATGACGAATGACGAATTGCAGTAATGACGATGTAGTTGAGGTGATTACGTCTGATCTTTGTAAATGCGGAAAGTCGGGCCCACGCACCTGGGCAGGCCATGTTCTTTAACTCTCTTGACCGGTAACATTGGAGCAACTCCCTTAAACCAGAGTTTGCACAATTTTCGACGGCATATCGAATTTGTCTTGGCATTCAGGTACAATCCCATTAATCGGATAGGCCGACGAGCATAATTGAACACTTTATGCATAAGCGAGTCAGGAGCCGTCAACTGCCTCGCATTTTTCATAGGAGGAATGAAGATCAAAGGTGCATTGACATAATTTTCTAAGGCCTTCCACAGCCACGTTGATTAATTCGAGACTCGAGTCAGTTATGAAAATGTCTATTAGATTGATCTCCTGACAATACACGGCTCTAAATGGGTTCCCCGAGCTTGTTCTAACCCAGTGAGCCTAAATTACAGGCTAAACTTACCTCTATCAGTGCTTCAGACAGAGGACATAAAGTCTACAGCTCAGAACCCTCCGGTTGTGCTGAATCATGTTGCTGTCGAGGACCGAGACCGAGTCTTTGGAATAAAGACATAACAACTGGCACAGCACGTCACCAGGTCTTTCAGCGCACATCTTGTCTCTCCACTATTCAATCCATCTTCAACTTCTCAGAAAACATGAAGCGCCACATCGAACTCAACAGCTTGCGAGCCACTGCGGCAGCCTTCCTTCTTGTTCAAGGCGCCAACGCCGGCAAGGTCTACTGCGCCAATGCAGAGGAGAAAGTCGTAGCCGAATCAAATTGCGACGGCACCGCACCACCAGGAACCTTCTACATGTTCAACAGCGAAGAAGAATTCGGCATCGGCTCCAAAGTCTCACTAAAGAACGCCGAAGTATACGACAGCAACGGAGCATTCGAGAAGCGACACGAACTATTCCCGGCCGACGAGCCAATGCAAGATCTCGAGGACAATGGTTTTGGGAAAAGAGCCTGTGGAACCGGATATGGTGGTGGTTACCGTGGGGGTGTATTTATTCCTATTGTTGTTCCCGTTATTGTTGGCGGTTGAATAGGCGCGCCGAGCGCCTCTCCAACACACAAACTTGTCCCCTCGCGCTTCAGCTGAGGATGGTCAACCGAGCGATACCCCTGAGTTGAAAAAGCAATAAATCTGATTCGTTACATCTTCAAACTTCAGCGCCACAGAAGCAGAATGTGACTTTCTTGATATCGTGTGATCAGCCAGAGACAGCCCGTGTGCCTTACCCTGTCCTACTCTTAGCCAGACTGTTAGAACATCATTACCGTTCCTGCCGGTTGTAGCGCATTTAAGATTGTACTTCAAGGCCGTTCGTCTCATGTTCGTCTCATGCTGGCAACTTTGATAACACACTGATCACCCTGCTGCCCTGCGCTGGCGCAGTTGCAGGGCCCGAAAGGCCCCCACGACATGAGCACACTTAAGCACTTAAAAGAGCCCACATGCTGCGACTTCTTTAAAAATAGCCTATTTCAAGGGTCCATTAGAAGCCGAGCTGAGCTGGGTCGCTCGTGAGTGGATCGAGTTGCGAATAGTGTCTCGATTACTCATCACCCACCTGCAATAGCCCCTTTGAAAAGAACCTTAAGGGTATGCGACATTTTTGTCTCGACAACTCCACAACTTTGCGTATACGAGCCAGTCTTTAGAAACCTTCAATGAGACCAATATCAGCTTATGATGACGAAAAGGGTAAGGCTACTTGTTCCTAGGTGGTTATAAGTCAAAGTTGGTCTTACTTGCAGTTGCAGCTGCCTGAATGTCTGGCGCTACGATGCAATTCAAGGGAGTGGGTGCTTAGTAAAAGAAAGACATCGTGAAGTGAAAAATGTTGGGCTAACATTCTCGGAAAGACTCGGAGTCATGATGTTTCTTCCATCGGGCCTCTGTCCCTTAGCCAACAGTTGTTGAAGTTCAGCCGTGGACGGTGGACATGCAGATCAGTTGCCAGTTCGGATAATGGAGAGGCCAAAGATTCTTGCCATGCGGATGACCTCCATTGATTTTTGGGTACAAATAACATAACATTTCCTCTCTGTGTGCTGTTTACTCTTCAGCAAGTCTGAACTGCCATCAAATATCCTTCAGAATATCTTTCATCTTCAAGGAGAACGACTTCTTCCAGCACGGTTGGGACGCGTTCTATGCTCAGTGCAAGGCGAACGGCGATCACAAGTTCCCTAAGAACACTGTCTTCGCGAATTGCCAGGGAACCTCCGTCTCATACATGTGCGCGTACACTACGAACCCGTGCAACGTCAACGAGTGGGCTGATGCTGTTGGCTGGGCCGCTTCCAACTGCAAGGGCCGCAGTAATGGTTGGATGGAGCCTGGTATGTATTCTAGCCAATGCTTTAAAGCGGACTGATGAACATGGAACTGACCATTTAACACAGGACATCTCCATGTCCCATGATGGAACAAGGTAAGAGATCTCAAAGTTGTTCGAAGGTCGAGAGAAGCTGATAGCGGTTATAGAGATACGACTGTGCCAAGTCGGGAGCTTCAATCTGCTAAATGGGGTTTCCGCCGTAAAATCCCCCTCGAAAGTCAGAAGAAGACAAACAACCACCATTCCACCGACATTGTCAATCGGCACAGATAATTCTTGTTCACGTTGGTACTTGTTTCGCACATTTGGAAGAGATCGCATGGTCAACTACGTAACTACGCCGAGCCTCTGGGTCATGTGTTTCTAGGCAGCATTGGCACTACATCCGAAACAAATAGTAGCTAATCACCTTAAATGCTCATTCAAATACAAACACATGTGCCCTCATCCAAGCTAGAACTTATGTGACCAGTAGAACGCTATGTTTAGGGTTGGTATGTACTGAAGGTGATGTAAATCAGACGTGGCCTTCCAAGCTATACACACTGACGTAGCCCAAGCCTTGTTTCAGCCGACAAAGATTCCTAAAACTTCTTCTCAAACTTCAAATCAATCACATCTTGAGGCTTGATGGCCTTGACCCTGCTCCCTCTGATATCCGTCCTGTTGAGCAGCTTCTCAAACACAGGGGCGAACTCCCTGCTAGTGGTGATCGGGAAACCGTGGAAGTTTGTCATGCCCGGCTCAACCTCGAGCTGAACCCGGTAGGCGAGGTAGACTTCATTGAAGCGGATGTTGGTGTCCTCGTTCTCGCGAGCCGCCGCGACGGCAAAGCTGAAGAGGGCGCCCTGGGTCACGGCCGGGGCCACTCGAAGACCCCACTCGCCCTGTGCGCCGGTGCACATTGTCCAGGTCGTCCTAGGAAAGCCCTGATCGAGCAGGTAGGGAACAGTAGCACGGTAAGCAACTGAAATCAGTGCGAGTTAGTTGTTGATATACTTATTGAACACGTGAGTTTTCGAGGTTGTACTGACTGATGTACGTCTCAAAGTTCGCGGTCATACTCGCGCGGAACGCGGCCACGTCGAGGTCTAGGATCTTTGCGTCGGCGTAAACCCAGCCAGCTAATATAAATATGTCAGCTTTATGGTCTAGCGCTTCTGAACTTTTGATAAAACTTACGCGAGGCCCAGACGTGTTGGAAAGAAGGCAGCTTGCCCTCCCGCACTTGGTCGACCACCCCCTTAATCGAATCTTCCGAAGTCGTGTCGGCCTCGACTGTCGTGATGCCCTCGCGCGTGCCGACATATTTGAAGATCTTCTCCGCGCTTGCCTCGTTGCGTACGATAGCAATAACATTGTGCTTGGCGTTGAGGGCGCCGATAATGGCGGCAATGCCCATGTTGCCAGAGGCGCCAAACACGAGAACAGTTTCGGTCATGTTGTCTTTGATCTTGATGCGTCGTTGGAAAATTGTGTGTTAGTCTGTGACTGATGATCTGAAGTTCATCCCAGCGATCTCGATGAACTCCAGGCCTTTATATGACCTCACTCCCGCCCAATATCACCATCGCTCAACCGAGTCTCTCGCAAATCCGGACGAGCGGCCGGATACGATTCAACTGAATACTAAGCAGCTTACAGAGCAGACGGCGCAACCCGGAAATTCGTCAATGTTGAGGCGGTAGGTTTTAGATTTGCAAAGTATTCCTCGGTCTTTTCGCGTGTTAGCAATGGCCGAAAAGGCCGTGTGATGGTGATTTGAATGCTCGTAGACCGAAATGTCCGTGCTGCATGGGTTGACGCGGTTCGCAAACGCGCGGGGTTCCATGATTAATAATGAGTCATCTTACTCCGGAGGCAGCGGTATAAGACGGCGCAACCCTGCCCAAGCATGAGCGGTTACGAAGTCAGAGTGCAATTGTGTGTTGAAGAGGAGATGGGTGTCGAGATGAGGTCTGCCGGAAAATCGAACAGCAAGTCCCCCGGGAATGATCAGCGGGATTTTTGGTCAATTACCCCTGTTGAAGGGTATAAGCTCATTCGACAAAGCCTTCAATGAAATCAGACTGGCGCGTTGTCTGTAACTCCTGTATAGGTATATTTTCGAGTTCGGTATCCCACGCCGATAGCAGATGCCCGATTCATTTCACCCGGTGTGAACGGATCGGCATTCGCTGCGAGTCCCCAAAGGGACCTACCAGTCCGCCGGCCGGGCAGGTAGCCAAAGACATGCTGACCTAAGTCAGCTCTAAAGATTGAGCAATAACAATGTGTCTGATCGTTTCTCCCAAAACAAACCGTGGAAAGGCGTTGTGATGGTATTTGCAGGTAACAAATGAAATCATAATTCACTAATTTTGAAGCCCTTGAGCCTGACGTATAAATAGCGTCTGTAAGTGTTCCAACAAAAAGTGAGATCCGTTTCTGGGAGTACACCTAATGATGTTCAAAACCAGTCACTTGGCTAACTTTACTCGAGTCCGGGACATATCATCTGCGTGTGACGTTACATGCTTTCAATCCTACGACCGATCGTATGTCTCCGTTTTCCATTTCTCGACCAGTGCCTGTTTCTTCTCTTCGCTCAGTCCGGTAATTCTACTGAAGTCGTAGCCCTCTCGGGGCCAGTAGCCGTCAGCACCTGCCAACCAGAGGTCGGCTCTCTGTCTTTCAGATCGCCGGACATCTTCGTCGGTCCAAGACGCCCCAAGCCGCTGGGTGGAAGGCTTCGTATCTCTAATTGCTGAGGACCTGCCTCGCAACAGCATCTCAGGCACCTCATCAACATCCCACATAACGTAACTACATTCCCAGAGACCCTTTTCTGAGGCACTTAAATCTAAGCTCGAGATTGTATTGGTCCAGTTCATAGCCAACCACAATCGGAACGGAGTGGAAGAAATTGAATCCCGTGGGCCATCCAATGACCCGGCTAGTCGACTTAGTTTTCCCTCTTGATGGATTTCAGACAGCTCCGCTGCCTCGTCTATGTCGAGCTGATCCAGCATTTCCTGATCAAAGTCATCCTCTCCAATTAACGACTGCCCCGTCTGTTCGAAAGGTTGGTATTCGGGTTCTATCATTTCGAAGTCGAGTAGATCTAACAGTTTAAGTCTCTCTTCGTATGTTTTCGCATTCATGATCGACGCCAGAAAAGGAAGACCATTGCAAAGCTGCAACTCGGACGTAAGCTAGGATATCTCCAAACTAATCTCTGAAAGATTGAATACACGAAAGAACTTGTTGCATAACTCACAAAGCTCTGGACTCGGTCCAAGTTCCAAGGTTCACTTCGCCACTGCACGGGAAGTTCGCCCCACTCTACATCGTGTGCAGCAAGCTCATCGTATGCTAGGATACGAGTTAGTGATGTTGGGAGCCGAAACGAGATCTTGTACACGTACCAGCAATGACCTTGTTCTCAAGATAATGGTACACGCAGCTGAGTTGCTCGTTGACCCATGGAGAGAATTGTGTGAAGAAAGGATGTCTATTTTCGAAGGCGGAGAGGTTCCTGTCAGAACCCTTTCTCCCACAAAACAAGTTGCACATGATTTGGTAACGATAGAAGGCCCTTTCCAGACGGAAAATTTCCTGCGGGTTAAGATGTCCGGAATGCTCCAGCTCGAACCTTTCGACAAACGCAGGGATCGCCCCTCTGGCGAGATCATCGCGGAGAGACTCAACGGCCGCATGGTTCTTGCTGAGGAATGCGTACTCGCCTAGGGGCAGGCCGATGAGAGCTGCTGCGGCATGGCGGGGCTCGGATATGTCTGTGATGAGATGATCCAGCAAATTTCGGATGCCATCGTGGTCATCGTCACCGAGCTTTGCCGACTTGAGAAGTACAAGGGCGAATGGGAGAATGACGTCGGAAATCTGATTCGTGATGATGCTGCGGGCTACGTAGTGAAGGTTGTCGTGAAGAGCATCGTGGAATACACGATGACTCAGGATTGCGAGCCCGAGCTGTTGGAAAGAGCCCAGGTGAGCCAGGATTTCGGCTACCACATGCAACGGCACCCGCTGAAGTGGATTCGATGCCATTCTTAACATGTGAGGCCCCGTGAACTTCACCGGGGAAAAGGGCCGGGAAAATACAGAGTACGACAGCGGGAAACGAGATGGGCTGGGTATGAGCATACATAATGTCGGGCTATCGCAGGCAGCGGGACAGCGTGCCAAGAGCGGGGAGGTGTGCTTGCCGCCGGAGGAGGATTGACTTGGTTGGTTCTGGTCAGGCCAACACAGTACTGGACAGAAGCATCCTGTAGCTGATTGGCTGCAACCCGGCCATACTAAATGCCCTCTCTCACTGTGATATTGAGATCATCTAACATCACTCACCTTCTCGGCCGCTCAATCTACAAAGTTAAGAATAAGCCGAATGTGATGTATGACAGTGAAATGTAAACGTCAATTTGCTGCTGTTACTTGGAACATGTTTCTGAACAACCTTTGTCACTTTTACATGCAACCAGTCTCTCATAGATTGCGAAACATTAGTAACACGAACGACAGGGGCAACTTGATGGCAACGTTGGGAACGTCGTTAGAAATGAAGAAGAGAGCAAGGCGGGAGCCTTGATCAACACCTAACGAAAGCGAGAAATCAACCGTCGCGGCTCCAAGCGGCAGAGGAAGACTGAGAGTTCACGACAAGTATATGTGAAACAAGGATGAGACATGCGATATTTTCAGTCAACAGCCCCAAGGTAACTGTCTGTGTAATCACGATTGGCATGGATAGTGAAGGCCTCATTCTGTCGGTGAAGGGACAGATTATGTGGCGACCGGTGAGAGCTATCATTGCCCCACTCCGACCGTCGTGGGGCCGCTTCGCGGGCCGGCTGCTAGATCGAAGGCAGCATCGAGCCATCGCTCCAAAGCTTTCGGCGACGAGTACGATTGTTATGACGATTGCTTCTGCAGACCACAATGACGAATTATGGAAGAATCATATCAATGGGAATCGAGACAAAGATATCGGCGGCGACGGCTGCGGCAGCAAAGACGACTACAGCAGTGACGACGATGACAACGTCTGTAGAGATACAAAAGAAGCGGCAGAGAATGCATCCAGTAACAAAAGTTCTCGCTCCGGCCGACGACGCTGGTCTCCGAGTTGCGGCTTTCTGGGAGATCCGCCCGTGTTCGGGTGAGATCTGCTACCCGCCGAGCCAAGATCCGAGTGATCTCGAGAGATTGGGGAGTCGACCCCCGGTTGATGCGACGTTCGAGAACGGATGCAATGCTCCGACCACTAGTGCTACGCGGCAAGAAGACAAGAGCTTCCCCTCGCCATATGCCATATGGATCGACTCGAGACGACGGAAGATACTTGCGAATATCCGCAATGCAATGAATCGACCAGGCAACTAGCTTCTGTTTGTGAGCAACAACTTCATATCCAGTTGTAAAGCCGAAGACATCTGCCGTCATTACTGGGTTTGTCGTCAAAGTCTTCAACAACCAAGCTAGGCAGAGCCCCAGTTAACTCTGCATAAAGCCCGATTCGACCTCTACACAATCTTGAGGGTTTCCATCATCTTTGTCATCGTTTCCGCGCAGCGCCAAAGGCGGGCAAATGTTCCGCAGCAAGCCCAGTCCGTTTCCTGTGGCTGGGAGAAAACGGCAGCCAGCCATCTCCAGTCGATTGGCCAATTGCGTCAGCGGATCGTCAGGAACTGGATCTAGCGTTTAGAATGTTGGCGACGGGTGGGTGTCGCGGTGGAGAACCACGGAGCCGAAAAGTGGACATGGAATGTCATCGTTGACCAGGCAAAATGTGCGGCGTGCCATCGTTTGCCCATCTTCGCGCAGCAGCTCAAAAACTGGAGATGATGGCTCTCGGTGTACCGCTAGCGATATCGGGTCCGAACCCACAGGCCCCGGCAACCGCGAACCGACAGCCGCTAAGCCGATCGACGCGGACGTCGGGGGGGTCTATCCGTACCCCACCAGCCCTGACCGAGCTGACCGACGACGTTTGTCCATGCTTTCGCGGGAGCGATGGGAGGCAGATTTGGGGTCAAGGTTAAGCGGGCATGATCTGCGAGCTGTCAAACTTGCTGCTGTCGAGGATCCTGATCCAGAATATTGGGTTCATGTTGGTTGGAATGAAGCGCGGCTTTGTAAGACACGCAAACGCCACATGTGACTGCGCCAAGCAGGACGTTGGACGCGGTGGGATCACGACATAATCATCACCGCAGACAAGTCTGTTGTAACCAGGTATCTCTCACTGCTTCCCTGTATGATACAGAGCGGTTTGCTTCTTGGTATGTCTTGCCAAGGCGAGTAGCTCCTCGGTGCTCTTAGCCCATCCCGCGCGATGGGCGGGAGGAGGTTCAGTTGAACGGGTGGTTAGCCCGCAGCCAAGAGACTCGGCACCAGCACGCCAGACGAGGCTGGGATTGCAACTTTGACGAATCTGCTGCATGTCTCTTCCAACAAACGTGGTCATGCTTCACAATTGGCTTTTGTGCTAAGGGAAGACAGCGTGGCGCGGGGACCCTGAAGGACGAGTTCGGTGAACAAGCCACATTTGGCGGGGTAATTATCTCGCTCTATCAACGCACCGCAAACCAGACCCCGGCAGGACACCACGTCGTTGTCTCGTCGTCTGATCGCAGCTGGCGCCTGTTAAGGTTGTTTCTCTTGCAGCTGGCTAGGAGTAGCTCAGAACACAAGGCACAAGCAACCACAAGGTGTCGTCTCTCTCGCGGCGGGCTTACAAACCTTTGCGCCCATTACCAATCCGTCGTGTCTCCGGTGTGCAACGGATGGATGCCGGAAGACCGAGCCGCCGCTCAAGAGGACTTGCGACACAACAACAGAAAGGGACCCCACGGCTCCATGGATCTCCCATGGGTCGTCATCGGGGTTCATTGTGTCAGCCATGCGTGGGTTCAGACTTTTTTATCCCTCCCGCGGCTGCACCACGAAAATGGCCATCTCCATTGGGACGGGGAGGATGGATCTTACGGGCACTTATCGTGGCGATACATGACTTATGCGTCGCTACAGAGTGCTAAACACGCCGCCAAGGGGGGGTACATCTGCAAGGTAGCGATCACGTCATTTGAGCTAAACAGCCTCCATTTTTACCTTGGACAATGGGCATGCAGCACCAGCAACCGCAGACGACAGCAACGCCGATTTCACGCCGGGGGACACTTGAGGGACAATTTTTTTTTTCTCTTTACGTGTTGAGCCCGCATTTCGCATTGAGGAAATAAAAAGACACCGTTGCGCCCCTCTGCTCTGCCGCATTGTCTCTTCCTCCTGCTGGTTCTCTCCTGTGTCTCTGTCCTCTTCCTCCTCTGCAACTCTCCCTCGACCAAGCCAATTGGTTGTATTGTGTCTCTTCTGAGCTTTTCAGGAGCTTCGTATACCCCCTCTAGCGTCTTTGTTTCTGCTCAATCCCGAGTCTTGTCTTTGCCCCGCGCAACTACTCTCAACACTTCACATTCACAATGGCCAACTCTCCCCACGGCGGTGTCCTCAAGGACCTCTTCGCGCGCGATGCGCCGCGTTCCGCTGAGCTGCTCGCCGAGTCCGAGAAGCTCCCCTCGCTCGTCCTGACCGAGCGCCACCTCTGCGATCTCGAGCTCCTGCTCAACGGTGGCTTCTCCCCCCTTGAAGGTGCGTTGTGTTTTGCTGCTGCTGCTGCTGCTCCCTTGCTTCTGCGATGGTGGGGTTGTTGCTACCTGCTGCGGCTGCCGCTGCTGCTGCTGGACGGAGACGACCCCGCCATGATTTTTTGGAGGGGCAATTCGTGCCCCACGATTACGTTGCGCTGTGGAAAAAAACAGTGGGAACCATGAACTGACCGAGGCATTCCCGCATCGCAGGCTTCATGACCGAGAAGGACTACAACGGCGTCGTCAAGAACAACCGCCTCGCCGACGGCAACCTCTTCTCCATGCCCATCACCCTCGATGTGTCCCAGAAGACCATTGACGAGCTCTCCATCAAGCCCGGCGCCCGCATCACGCTGCGCGACCTGAGAGACGACCGCAACCTGGCCATCCTCACCGTCGAGGATGTCTACAAGCCCGACCGCACCGTCGAGGCCATTGAGGTCTTTGGCAGCGACGACGACACCCACCCCGGCGTCAAGCACCTCTTCTCCAACACGGAGGACTTCTACGTCGGCGGCAAGCTCGAGGCCATCCAGCGCCTCGCCCACTACGACTTCCTCGACCTGCGCTACACCCCCGCCGAGCTGAGGCTTCACTTTGAGAAGCTCGGCTGGAACAAGGTCGTCGCCTTCCAGACCCGCAATCCCATGCACCGCGCCCATCGCGAGCTGACCGTCCGCGCCGCCCGCTCCCAACAAGCCAACGTCCTCATCCACCCCGTCGTCGGCATGACCAAGCCCGGCGACATTGACCACTTCACCCGCGTCCGCGTCTACAAGGCCCTGCTCCCCAGATACCCCAACGGCATGGCCGCCCTCGCCCTGCTGCCCCTCGCCATGCGCATGGGCGGCCCCCGCGAGGCCATCTGGCACGCCATCATCCGCAAGAACCACGGCGCCACCCACTTCATCGTCGGCCGCGACCACGCCGGCCCCGGCAAGAACAAGAACGGCAAGGACCACTACGGCCCCTACGACGCCCAGCACGCCGTCCAGAAGTACTCGGACGAGCTCGGCATCCAGATGGTCGAGTTCCAGGAGATGATCTACATCCCCGACCGCGACGAGTACCAGCCCGCCAACGAGATCGCCGCCGGCACCCACACCGCCAACATCTCGGGCACCGAGCTGCGCAACCGCCTCAAGACCGGCAAGGAGATCCCCGCCTGGTTCTCCTACCCGGAGGTCGTCAAGGTCCTGCGCGAGCAGAACCCCCTCCCCGCCCAGAAGGGCTTCACCATCTTCCTGACGGGCTACACCAACTCGGGCAAGGACCAGATCGCCAAGGCGCTGCAGGTGACGCTCAACCAGGGCGGCGGCCGCTCCGTGTCGCTGCTCCTCGGCGAGACGGTGCGCTCCGAGCTGTCGTCTGAGCTGGGCTTCAGCCGCGAGGACCGCTTCCGCAACGTGCAGCGCATCGCCTTCGTCGCGTCGGAGCTGACCCGCGCGGGTGCCGCCGTCATCGCGGCGCCCATCGCGCCGTACGAGGACGCGCGCAGGCAGGCGCGCGAGCTCGTCGAGAAGAGCGGGCCCTTCTTCCTCGTGCACGTCGCGACTTCCCTCGAGTACGCCGAGAAGACGGACAAGCGCGGCATCTACGCCAAGGCGCGCGCCGGCGAGATCAAGGGCTTCACGGGTGTTGACGACACCTACGAGACCCCCTCCAAGCCCGACCTCGTCGTCGACGTTGAGAAGCAGACTGTGCGCTCGATTGTCCACCAGATCGTCCTGCTCCTCGAGAGCCAGGGTCTGCTTGACAGATTGTAAAAGGAAAGCGCATTCGTTTTTGGGAGGGGCATAGCGTATCAAGAGATGAAATGAACACACTGGGTGGGCAAAGACTTTTGTTCACGGAGTTGATGAGAAAAAGACTTACATGGATATGGGTTTTTAGAAAAAGCCGTTGGGTTTTTGTGTTTTTTGGATTTTTCATATATAACATACACTTGAGATGAATATCATGGATATGGATATGGATGGCATTTGGCATCTAGGTCAGAGTCTCGTCCTTTTCCGCCTACTCAGGAGGGGAGAAGAGAGAAGAGATTTGAATTGACGAATACGATTGAGCAAATGTTAGCATTCACGTCTCTTGCTGCATGGTGATGATATTTTAGAGTTCCTTATCGCGATCGTATTGTTTAGCCTCGCATTCGAGTTCCGATTGTCGAGGCGATCAGATTTGATAAGCATGGACGACACGGCGTTGCAGGGCGGACGGACGGACCCCCCCTCCCAGGACAGGAACCCGAACGATCGCAAACGGCCGAGCTCAATTGCATGATGCATTCCCGCCGACGGGGGTTCAGAGACGTGAGTTCAGGCTTGGTGGAGGGTGGAAGTTGGTTCGGTCTGAGATGTTGGTGTCTGTACTGCTGCCGTGTGCGTTTGGTGGTTAAAGGTTTGGGTGATGGTGATGGTGATGGTGGTGTGGTACGGCCTGGCTGCAGTGGTGGAGTGGGGGAGACACACGGTTGGGCGCTTAGCTTGACGCGGGTATTGGGCGGGAAGGGCCATTCTTGGTGCCCGACGATGGGGTTGGCGCATTCGTTGGCGGGTAGCAACACATGGAGAGGTGGTATTGATGGGATGGGCATGCAACCGATGTGAACTGGTGAGGGGTTTAGTTAAGGTGTGTTTTATTTTAGGAAGCGGTCTTCTTTTTCGGCGTTGAGGGGTAGTTCCGATCTTGGTGATCATGGGTGGTGGTGGCCTGGTGTGCTCTTTGAAATAATGGGTTTCGAGAGACAGAGAAGATTAGGACTGCAAGACAGGTGCTACTGTCGGTGAAGCGAGACGAGTGCTTCGGGATGGCAGGTGAGAGAGCTGTGTGAGGCAGATATCTGATGGTGTTTGCCGGATTAATACCATGGTACCAGAAAGAAGCTACGAGAGCTGTCTCGCGGGGTGTAAGACCCGTGGCTCGTTTGCCTTGGGCCGAGACATGGCATCGCGACCATTGACGGAGCTGCCAGTTACCTACCTCAGGTCTGCGGCTTCGATCAGGAACAGATGGTCATCTGCAACCTTACCCAGAGACATTCGTTGTGTAAAGCAGAGTAGCCGACAGCTCCGCGTACCTGACGTGGGGCCCAAGACCAGTTGGTTTGCAGCAAAGCGATGCGATGTACGGGCCAATGATTTGCAGATGCGATCCAATGGGCGGTGTCCTGCTTGCCTGCCTGTCTTACCTTGGCCGTAGTGTAAAGCATCTGTGCCTGAAGCTTCTCACCCGTCTCCAGGTGTGTCTTTCTTGCCTTGACCAGCAGCTCAGACGGGGCTCAGGAACGCAAACCCACGGGCCTTTTCCGCCATCCCCGGAGGCTTCTTCAGATTCAGCCAATGTTATGCCTTTCGGAAACATGCGGAAAATGCGCCACTCGCTGGGCTTCCTTGGTCGCCTTTTTTTTTTGCCGGCGACCGTCCACTGCCTGCCAGCCACGCCCGTCGGATGAAGGATTACAGTGTGCAGTTTGCAGTGCGTATGACGATGCGGTGGTTCAGTGCCTGAAGTGATTGACCTTTTTGCCGGGTGACTTGGATCTGGGCCAGGCCCGAGCTTCTGGCAGTGGCCGTTGTGGGGCTCAAGGGACCTCACCACTTGAACCACTTCACCTCTCACACACCACCACTCAGCCCAGTACGGATGCACTAAACCTGCGACTCTGCCAAATGCTCAGCCCGGGAAGTTGAATGCGCCCGCCACGTCAGGATCTGGCCACTGTGCAAGTCAGCTGTTCTGTGTCTGTCTTATGGTTTGTTTCGAGCGGGAGTAAAGAAAAGAGGGAAGGAAAGCAGTTTGCAGCCAACAGCCAGCAGCCAGCAGCAAAGTGAGTGACTTGTGTCACCGCCCCAGCCCTTTCACATCCTGACGGGAGGGACAAGTTCCCACTCGCCCCCACAGCCCAGCCCGTCGACGGCCAGGTTGCCAGCGTCTAGTGTGCAGCATCTTCCCACCGCCCACCGCCCTCCGCGTCCACCCCCTTCCCAAGTGCGTTCCCAAAGTGCGTTCCCTTCCCTCTTCAGTGACGGGTGATCCACACTTGCCGGCCCTGCCCAGCCTGTCCAGCCTACCAGATCCGTCCCAGGCATCGAAGCCCGCAGCACCAACGCTGGCAACGCAGCAGCCGACAGGGGTTGTTGCCTTTGGCTTTGCAGACCACTTACCACAAGAGAACGGACACTCACTCGTGGAAGGTACGCCAGTACGGATACAGTACAGAGTAAGGTACTCTGCTGTGTGCTGTTCCATTCTCAATTTTTTTTGGTCGAATCACACCCGCCCGAGCTGCCTTGTGTCAACGAACACCTCCTCCCTCGCAACCGCCCACCGCCCATCGTACGTACGGCTCCTTCTCTCTTCCGTCTTCCTCTGGCCGCTCTTCCCTCGTTCCTGAAGCTCTGCTACCTCACCATACATCATCCCGACAGCTGAAACCAGCCTCGACGGCGAACGTCACTGACGACGGGACAGACACTAAATCTTCCAGAACCCTGAACCATCGACCAACGCTCGCTCAAACCAGGGGGGCTAGGGGAAAAAAAGTCACCGCAATCCCCGGTTTTTAACGACTGCCGAGTCGCCTTCAACCTCTTTTGAACGGTGAACCCCAGACCAGGTCCTGCCTGCTTCCTACCCGCACCTCTTCACAAACTCGTCCAAAACCTTGACCTCGACGACGGATCGCCCGCCGACGGGCCCCAAAACCTTCCCACCCACCATCTCCTCCCTCGACAAACAGGTTTATTCAATCCCTCCTCACCCGTCGCCCGACGACGCCCACGCCCACGCCTAAGCCTCGCCGCGCAGCTACCTGAGCTTCCGGGCTCGCATCCATGCGCCAGCCACCATGTCTTCCGTAAACCGTGACGTCGATACCGTCGTCGACGACGTTGACAAGCTGCCCCGCGAGAAGAAGTCCTCCCGCAGCAAGTCGGAGCGCAGCCTCAGATCCGACAAGGGCGACAAGGAACACCGCTCCTCCCGTGTGAGCTCACGATCCTCGAAGTCGAAAATGGTCGACGGCAGCGGCCTCGGAAGCGACACCCACTCGCGTTCCCACTCTCACCGCCGCCACCGCACCCGCGAGGAACGGGACCGCGACCGCGACCGCAGAGACCGGGACCGAGACAGAGACAGAGACAGAGAACGCGGCCATGACCGCTCCGCCTCCATGACCGACCTCGTCCCCGAGCTGGCCAGAACCTCCTTGACCAACTCTACCGATCGCGTTTCCGTTCCCTACCCGACCTTCAGCAAAGCGCACAGCAAGGAGGCTGTCCGCAGCAAAGATGACGTCTCGGCCGTCGCCGAAAAAGAAAAGCAGAGAGACCCCTTCACCCCCGAGGCGACCGACCTCGGACAGAGCGATGTCCACCGATCCAAGAGTGTGAACGATGCCTCGCGCAAGGTGTCGACCAAAGAGAGGCCTCCCAGCCCGCCCGAGACAGACTTGTCCGACAAGAGACGATCTGAGACGCCCGAGTCGTCGCGCAAGGAGCGTTCAAGCTCAAGATTAACCGAGAAGAGGGATAGGGATGACCGACCGATCTCGCGACTGAGCGGCCTTTCGATTTCAAGGTCGGGATCTAGAGCCGACGAAAGATCCCGGGTGAGCTTCAAGTCCAAGAGTAGCAGTCAGGCCACCTACGTCAAGTCGCCCTCTTTCCCTCCCGGCGTGCAGGAGAGCCTCAACATCAAGCCGAGCAGATCTTCCTCCAAGCGCAGTTCGTCGAGCAAGAAGAGCCGACGATCCGATATCCAAGATGGCGACTCGTCCCCGGAGAGCGTTATGGATTCGTCCCCCAAGACCCCGACGCAATGCCCGAACTACCCCCCGCCCTTGCCGCCGGACCAGAAGCCGCACCCTGGATTGGCTCAAGTGTATGCTGAAGAGATCACGCCCTCGGGCACCCCAGCGACCGACCTCCCTGGACCTCCTCCCCCGCCGCCACCTCCTCCGCCCCTGGACGTCCACGAGGCGCCTAGAGTCGACTACCTCTTGCAGAACGGCGGGCTGCTTCAACCCTTGCCAAAGACGTTTTTGTCTGTTCTTCCTCGTCAGAATGGCGCCAGACCTTCCAACCCGCCTCTCGTTGGCGCGCAAACGCTGTTTGCGCCTTTTTTCAACTTGCTGGATCAGTACAACTCGGTGCTAAACAGAAATGGCTCGGTAGCCGTTGCAACCGGTCACCGATCGGTTGCCCGTAGACTGCTGGACCGCCTTGAGAATGTGTTCTCTCGGGAGCTGCCCGAGTATGGATGCACCTGCGTTTTGTGTGAGAGAGGGCCCGATATCCAGCACCGCGGCCTGGGCTGGGGCGAGGTTCTTGAGTGGGTTAGCGGTCGCATCGAGCTCCCACAATGGCCTCCCTTTGACTTGGCGACCTTGGGGTCTGCCGCTGCGGACATTGCCGCGGATCTGCCCCCTCGTCCCGACTCGCCCATCCAGATCGATCCCGATATCGCCGAGGAGTTCCGCGAGCACTACCTCCAACGGTCTAAGAAGGTCAGGGGAGCTGTGGACAAGTGGTTGAACAAGTGCGGTGACTCGACCGCACCGACGCCACAAGACGTTGACGACGACACACTCACGTTCGCCATGCTTACGAACCTGGACCCTGAGGACCAGCCGTACTTCAACGCCATTCTCACCGGCTCTAGCCAGCTCAAGCCCACGACGAGAGCCCCTACACCCTCTCACTCGCACCGTCCCCGCCCCGACTTCGTTATCAAGGCCGGTCTTTCCCTCCAGCGTCTGTATCGCTTGCAACAGACGCCCCGCGATGCCGAAGTCGCAATGTACCTCGTCAAGAACCCTCATACCCACGATCTTGTCGTGACAATGTCCGATATCAATACCCAGGAGTGGGAGATCTTGACTTCGGGAAGATTCGATGGCTTCTTGTGGTCTGGCGCCGACGGAGACGACGTCAACACCCCGATCGCCGACTCCCGGGGAGCCACTCCCGCGAGCGGCTACTTCCCCTCTCGACCTTCGACTGGAGGGCCTTCTCGCAACGCCACCCCGTACTCTCGTGGAGCCACTCCAGCTTCCTTCGTGAGCGGTATGTCAGCGGCCGCGAACCGTCAGGCAGTGTCCCGTGATGAGGAGATGGAGATGGCCGTCTTGGCGGAAGTGGAGCGCGAAATCTACCAGGGTATGGAGGTTTTGGAAGATGCCTTCGAGGCACTTCACCTCAGGGCGGAAGTTGTCCGGACGGCGCTGCGCAACAGAGGCGCCGGTCTTGCGCACAGCCTGCAGAGCCGCCGACGTATCGATGTGCTGCCCGGCTCCGGCAACTCCCAGTCCTCGGGCTACGAGCGCCCGGGATGGGCCCAGGGCGATTTGGACAACAGCGATGACGACTGGATGGGCGGCGACGACTTCGAGCTCGCTCCCGACGACTCGGCCAGCAACATCAGCAGCTCGAGACACCGCCGACCCAAGCGCCGGACGGAACGGCGTACACCCGCCCCGATCGAGGAGGACGACGAGGAAAACTGAACTCAAGGATAATGAAATGCGATTGTTACTGCTCGACTTGTTTTGATGTCAAAGTGAGCGGGCGTCATGAAAAGCTGCATGTGCGGGGAATACCAAGGATTGATGAGTAAGGACGCCTGGACATGATGGGATGAAGTGGGAAGTCATGCGATGAAAGTTTCTGTTGGAATTTGCTTTGTTTTTTTTTGGTCACGACGTGTTCATCCCAGTGTTTTGCGCCGGGGAAGATTCGAGATGCCTCCCGGTTGGATGGGATGATGACATAACGAGGGTGGTGGAGGTCTGAACGAAAACGTTTGAAATTGGAGGTTTGAATTTGCAGCGAGATTGCACATCTCGCGTTGCGTGGCATCCGTCTGCGTTTTGATTTCTCCCGCTCCCCTCTCACAAACACACATACACACCTTGTTCGTAAAGCTGAGCTTGGCTATGCCGGGTCTTGGTGGTAGCTGCATGGTCTTGGAGTCTAGGTTCATTACTGCCCATCCTGGGCCGGTTTCTGTTGATTTTTAATGACAAAGTGTTTTGAGATGAAGAATGCTTGCAGCAAGCTTTGATGATTGGATTCGTGATTGTGAAATGTCCATGGGGTGAGGAAGGGCGGGCGGGCGGATGGACGGCCTTACTTGGGTGCCGATGCTGCCTTGATTGTCAACTCCCGGCGAGAAGAGCAAGATGGCCCAGTGGTCGGGACAAGCGCAATCGCAGCGCCCTGGTGTTGCCATATCTGATCGGTGGGAGGTTAAGGGTTCAAGTGGATTCTTTTTGGCTTTTTATGGTGGTGTTTTTGGTTCTTTGCCTATGGCCGCCGGTCTTGCTGTCACGAGCTGAGATGCATGGTTTTCATATGGGGCTGCGTTACCACGGAACAAGCAATCACTGCGATAATTATGGTCGGCGAGACGAGAAGGATTTCAGATAGCAAGCGATGTGAAATAAGGAAAGTCAATACGCAGTATGGTTTGTAGCTTCTAAAATACACTTGCCCCCTTCCCTTTCTTCCTTTTCCCAAACGCAAAATCGCAAAATCAACGCCGAACTCCGTAACTATGCCGCCTGCCGTAGCCATACTGCGTGTGGCTTTAGACACATGCTAAGATGGAGGAACTAGAACCTTTGATGAGAAAGTCGATCCCGGAAAAGTCAGGTGCTCTGGACTCGTCGGTGTGTCTCTTTCGCTTCCTTCCGTGATGAGCATGTTGGTAAAAATGATTGGCTGAAATGGAAAACGAAAACGCTGCTGAGATATTGATGAACAGTGACTATTTGACCTTGACGAAGAATATTTCGTTTTGCAAAAGTAGTCGAAGAAGAAGAAGAAGAAAGCGCACAGTAGGCGGGATTTATGATCCAGTAGATGTGTTGTTGCCGGATCCGGATTGGTACCTCCCTCAGACATTTCGAAGATTTTTGAAGAAATTGTAGCATCCCTGCGTGAGGAAGTAGCCGAGAAGAATGAACGTGTGGGCGACATGTAGAACCATAAAAATGCTGAAATTCGAAAGCGTACCGAAGAGCTGCGGGAGGCAAGACTCTCGCTCGCGCGTAGGGACCTCGGGTTCGTCAAGACTGGTTAGAAAAGTGTGAGCTGCTGAGAAACGAATGACTGTGAGACTGGCGTTCTTACTGTACCGGCTGCATCTCAGCTCCATTGGCGTCCAGAAGTGTCTTCAGCGCCGTGATGGTGATGTTCTGCTGCTCGAGTGCCATATCGAGGTCGCGGCGGGCAATGTCAAAGGCGTTGCCGGCGCGTCCAACTTCGCGCGAGGCGTGCTCGACGGCGAGGAAGGCGCGGCGGAGGCGGTCTTGGTGGTGGTGGTGCTCCTCGTCGCGGAGCTGGACCTGCGCGGTGACGGCGGCGCTCATGTCTGCCATTTTGGACATCATGTCGTGGAAGATGGGAGGGAAGGACTGGTCTGAGGCGGGAGGTTGGGATCGCATTGGCGTGCTGGGATGGATGGCCGGGTGAGGGGCGTGTGTGTCAGAGAGGATTGGGTCTGCTGAGGGAGTGGCGATGGGTCTGGCGAAGTTTGCTGAAGGGAACGGCGTAGGAGGTGGTGGTCTGGTGAGGTTGTTCAGGGAAGACGCTCGGGTGTTAGTGTTTTGAGCTGTGGATGAGGAGTTGAAGAAGTTCTGACGCGGAATGGTGACCCCACGCGGCGAAGGGAAGGTCTGGTAGTTGCTCCTTCCTCCAGGCTCGAAACTTCCACCTGCACTGAGAGGATCGCCCGGCAACATGCTCGTTCTCTGTCTCTTCGCTTGCTGAGCTGATTCTCCGTGGTCATCAGCCGAAGGGCGCTTTACGGTCTTGGTTTGTGGGGGCGGCATTCTTCCCTCCTCGACCTCAGTACGCGGTGCCGGGGTTGACTTCCATAGCATCTCCAGGCGTGGGTATTCCGCTGGGTCAATTTGATTATCAGGCGAAGAGGCAAAGCTCGATGGTTGGGGTGGTGCTGGCGTCTGCGGTCTTTCAACTTTCTCGACAACTTCAGGGGAAGCAGGAGTCATCTCTTCATCGCCCTCTGGGGTCTCCGGAGGTGTGTTCGCGGCCTCTTGACCTCCGTCCACTGGTCTAGGGGTAACCGGCTCTTGCTGATGCGTGGTTGCCGGAGGACCGGCTGAGAGTTTCTTCTCCGCGATGGACAGCTTTGGGTTGCAACATTTCTCGGCATCCCAGCCGTCATTGGCGAGCCACTCGCACAGCTCTTGAGGCAACTTGCCATTGTTCATGATCCTCGTAGCCTCGAGGTCGATGACGGAAGGCACATCATCCGGTTTACGTTCTCCATCAGGACCCCAGCGCCCCATGAGGAAAATGAACGGCTGCTGGAGCTTATAGCACTTTGGGGTCTTGGCATTCCATCTCACGGCTTCGAGGTTGTCTTCGAGCTCCGCCCGCTCAGGGGCGTCATCGAATGCCGGATTCTTCTGGCGCTTGGCCCATTCCATCCAAGGTATCGGCTCCTTTGGAGCAAGGTCTTCCCTCTCCTTCTCTGGTGGGGGTGGAGGCGGAGGACGCAAGACTCTTTCTATCGCAATCAGCAACGGATCAGTGCATGCGCTGGGCTCCCAGCCTGCGTTCCTGAGAAGGCTTGAGATGATGTTGGGGAATTCGCCGCCATTCATGATTCTCACTGCCTCGCAGTCCACCGGCGAAGGTGGGCGCAGTCTGTGGTTCTGAGCATTGCCTAGGAAGGCCAGAAGTCGCTTGTATGACGGCTCCTGAGCGACGAGTACTCTCTTGCGTATCTTGTCCCAGGAAATGGTGTTGATAATTCGGCGGAGTTGGAAGTCCAAGTCATGTACTTCGGCGTACTTTGGGTGCATTTGGGCCTTGGCCCATTTCAGCCAGCCTCTCTTGCATCTCGGAGGATCCTGGGCAGAGGTTGCGGACATGGTGATGGATGTTTTGCCAGCAAAGGCCTTCGAATGAAACCAGAGAAAAGAACTTTGCTGGCAAAAAATTCGAAACGAAATGTTGAAGGAGTTTCTGTAAGCTCCAAAGATATGAAATCAACAATTAGGAAATGTCTTGGATGGTATTGGAGACGGAAGTGTTGCTATGCAGGTAGGGGATGACGTCTAAGTGATCAATATGGTGTGTTTGCGTTAAAGAAAAGACTCAAAGGTGATAAGGAACGTGGATGATGAGGCAAGGAACTCTGTTGAGAATGAGCTTGTGTCTCGAGATGTTTGGTTGATGGACATGTAAAGAATGACTTGAGTGAGAAAGTTTGTTGTTGTGGAAAGAACTAGAAGAAGGCGTGGTTTAAAAGACGGAAGAGCACGTCCGTCTTATGACGGGAACGGTTCGCACCTGCTCATGGAGTGATGAGTGACCGAATAGGTTGGAAACATGCGTCTCGTATGGTTTGATGTAAAGATAATGAAGTAGAAGTAGGTCGTATGAATAGGTAATTCTCTTGCAGTACCAATCGATGCGTGGAAGAAGTGGGTGGCTGGGAGCTGATAGAATATTTGACGTCTAGAGGATGTGTAGATGTGCAAGTTGCTTAGATCTCTCGAGCTCCTGCCACTTTTATGTAGTCCTGTTCCGGGCACACGGGGCAGGGCAGGCTCGAAGAGGACGACGACGACAACGAACGGCAGTCAAGGATGACGTTGACACTTGCCTCCCGGTGAGAACAGTGGCTATATTAGCCCTACTAATCCTGTTTCTGCTTGGAAACACCCTTGAGCCCTTTCATATCATCGCTCATACTTTCGCGATGACGTCTCTTTGGTCCCTGGATGACCTTACTATCATGTCAATTGTGGAAAAAAATGGTTGCACTATATGTCCATCGAAACTCCATGAACGTCTTGTCCTCCTATTCTATTCTTTGGCAGGTGTACCATCCTGTGTCATCATCGACATGAGAGTCAGCGATCAAGAGGAGTCTTTTCAGCTGCTCTTGGGAGCCGTCTTGGAATTCAAAGACCATGTTTCCGGCAAAGGCGCTGGCGCAATGGCTTTTCGTTTCAAGGAGTAGATACCCTTCTGCAATTCATCTTGACATCATGTATGTTCACTGGTGATGTAAAGCATAAAAGCACCCCCCGCACACGTCGGAAGGCATGACCGGTCTTTTCAGCCAATCCAACTCGATCCTCTTGGCTTCGCTTGATCATCATAGCTTGTAATCCAATACTCTGGAAGACGCATAGTATGCCATGAAGACTAGCACGTGAGGCCCCAGCGCTTTCGTGTATTCATTTCATCCGCCGGCTTCGTCCCTTTTGATCTACGAGATATGAGAACCAGAATAAGCCCATGGCAATCGAAGACTGTCCAACGCGCCAACATCGAATCACCATCTACAGAAGAAGAGATACGGGACTTGGGCGAGGAGAATTTGGGATGCGGTTGGCGCCGTTTTTGATCGCGGTGGCTTGCGATGGTTGTCTTCATGTATTGCCCCTGCTTGAACAATAGCGGTTGCTAGGTAGGCTAAATGTGACCTTCTTCATGCTTCGTAAATGCCTTTGGCTTATTTGCAGATTTCTTCCTAAACAACGGTTGTCTGACTATCAGTAATGTCTGTTGAGTGAGGCAGACTTGTTGACGTCTAAGTATGCTGGATATGATTAAGATAACTAACTCTGAGGACAGAATATAAGTGTAGAACTAATTGAGAGTCTCTGAAGAGGCCAAAACAACCAATTGATCGGACGCATCTTTATTGGTGTTGATCAACCTGAACTCAAGGCCGTCGCCTAGAAAATTCTCGCCATCGGAACCAGAGGCTCGCTAGCTGTATTCAAGCATGAGATAACATCCCCTATCGTCTCTGTCGCTCACCTTTCGTTGGATATTGTTAGCGTATTCAGACGAATGTCATTCTCGTGCCTCTGGTGCCTCGCGCTCAAGTCAGACCGTGGAAAGAGAAGGCCCGCATGTGGTGCGTAGCGCATCAGAGTAGCTGCAAGGCTGGTAAGGGCAAGACAACATGCCCAATTGCGTGTGTCGCCTAAACACTTGCAATGTCAAGTTGACGTGGATTTATATACCATGTCAGGGCCAAAGAGTGACATTCAGCCAGCGCCTGGCAATCCGCTTGAGATTCTTTTCCGGCACCTACGGGGTCTCGCTAAGGATATAATCAGGATGTGTCAACCACCTCAGAGTGCGTTTCCAGGCCAAAATGAAACCTTCCCTTGAAGCCTGTGCGAGTCGTTGCTTTGTACTTTGGTCCGAAGATGTCCAAGGCCAAGTGCGTAAATCCCAACTGGTATGGTACCTGTACCCCCGGTTTGACCGTTCATGGTCTATCATTGGCATCTCTTGAGGTGTATTCCGCCGGTAATAGGTAGAGGGAGAAGGTCGAATGGTAGTTCACACGGGATGATGGAGACTAGTCGGCACCCCGAATGTGACCTGTAAGCAAAGGCAGCAAAGACCCTTTGGTTATCTATAAAATAATTGATGAATCTGCAAAGATTGTTGCTAGATAGCGGCATTTATACGAAGCTTTCGTTGGTGGAAACGTCAATGTCGGACTTTCATCACACAGACAATGGCGAAAGCAAGCCCTATAAAACAGCTGGGCCTGGCCGGTACCTATAACTGATTCCACAATGAGTTTGCATTATCATGATCGTTCGCCGATACGAACAAGTTTCAAAGATATCGTGATCCCGGTGATTGCCTCCACCTTGGCTGACCTCGGATGCAAGGCGCGGTTTACCCAGTTATTCATCGTCACCGCCGAGATGGTATTCATCCCACACACTCCGCGAGTACCTCCGTCATGTAACTACTCGTATTTTCCTGATACTCAAAACAGCACTGAATACTGAAAACATGACACCAGGGCCCACATTCGACTCCGTGTCTGGACAAGATGCGGTTCAGTTCATTCTCTGCGGTACAGAATACAAACAGAGTATCCCTCGCGAGCTCTCTCTATATAATGCCGGTTCTCAATACAACCAAGATTCCGCCCTTCAAAGGCAGGGATACGTCTCATAAGCAAGTTTTTCTAAGACGCAATACGATGCTCTTTGTCTTGTTCGTAGCTGATGGCAGACGGTGAACTCATCAGGCGTTTGAGCAATGCCCACACGACATTTCTCGCTCGCACTCTTGTCTTGAGACTCAGCCATGAATCGCCATGAATCGCTTCTATCATTCATAACTTTCCTTAAGCTATTCCAACGCATACTCGACTATTCCACATGCAGAAGTCAAATGCTTGAGATCGTATCATGTGTCTTCTGTCCAAACGCCATGAGCTTAACGGCGAGGCAGAAGCCAGTGGAAAGTAGCTGCAGTAACGCTCCAAATGCTCATCGATTTCCATGTCCCCGCTCGTCCAGAGAATGTCCCGCCAGGCCCCCTTTTATACAAATCGTCAGCGGGCAAGCCACTCCTATTCCAAAGCAAGACAACGGCAAAGTTCCCATCGTACCCCGAAACAGATGGCGAGACTGTGGAGTTCCATGTGAGTATCAGTGACGGCATTTCTTGCAACTGCGGAGGCAGAAGAAACCGAATCAGCTTCGGTGAACACATCTGATGAACGAAGCGGGAAACGGTGGTCCCGCTGTCAACGCAAGAAAACTTTTCCGTCAACCTCCGTGACATGACAGCTTAGCCGCAGTCTGTCTGATTATCCATCGAGAATACAGCCATAGCGATACTGCTAGCACTCGAAAACTGGAAGCACAAATGGCTAGGTCGGCGTTGGTACTCGGCTCCTTCCTCGTGATTTGGCAATCTAGGTGGTTCTGATGTAGCAAACAAAGCACAACCCAAGACAATATTTTGCTGAGTTCAATCCATGCGCAAAAAAGGGATAATTTATACTCAAAGGCAGGCCTGCCACTGGTTTCAAAACAAAGTCGGAGGCGGTGAGAGAACAACAAAACCGAAGAAAGCGTGCAAGGAGAAAAACCAAAAATGAAATCGAGCACGAGGATTCGAACCCTGAACTCCCGAGGGGATAAGCATGATCTCTGTGTTCAGCTGGCATACTAGTTCTACCATACTGGGCATATTCACGGCCACTTACTCCAGCTCGGTTGTTGGGAACTCTCGGGCACTAGCCTCCTGGAATATCTAGTAGCGCTCAAAGGTGAAGTCCAAGGTGAATTTCCAGGCCGGCTGCCTCAGTCTCCAGGCTGCAATTCCTCGGGAGGTGAAATCAACTCACTCACCCTCGGTCTAATGTTACCTGGCCTCTGTCATCCTTTCCTCACGTTCGCTCTGAAAACGACGCCCCGTCACACCACGGATTCTTCACGCATCACACAGGCAACTGTCATGAACGGCAGCAAGGATTGGCTATAAAAGGAGGACGCAACGCTGTGCTGCAGAAAGCCTACGGTGGTATCCCTGAAAAAAAGACGACCGATCGAAGACGGCGAGAAAACAAATACAGAAGACCATTTCCACCCACCTCCCCAACGCCGCCGCCCCCTCAGTTTACGCTCAATGACCGTGAATAAGGGAAAACATGGTGAGAGTTGAATAAAAAGCCAATGGTCCGAACATTCTCGCATCCTGCTCGCTAGATACCTGAAGAGTGGGAAGTAGAAAGGGGGAGCGTTCCAGCCGCACGAGGACGCAAGCTATATATGTGCCCAGGATATGCGTGGTTCATATGTACGGTCCGACCAGGGTGGCAAGAATGTACAAAGCGAGAGATGGAAGATCCGCCAACGCCATGATGCTTTTTTTGCTTTTGGAAACACGCTAAAGCGAAGAACTACGACGGTGGGCCGTCTACTCGTCGTCGAAGATCTCGTAGCAGTTCTGCAAGATTGTGTCGACAACCTTGATCTGCCAGCCAGCGTCGGCAATGCTCGTGCTCGGGTCGGTGCCCATGACGGTGGGACCAAAGATGACGGCGAGATTGTGCGAGTTCATGCGGTTGACGTGGGAGTTGTCCATG